TATTATTATATAAGCAAAATGATTTTAGTTCGATAATAAAAAAAAAAAATTTTTAAATGGAATACAGTTTATATCATGATCGTAAAAAAACACATTGAATATCATTAAATTAAAACTGTATTAAATATTTTTACGATCCTTATACCAATTTCATTATAAACTACGTTTACTTTTTTTTTTTTTTTTACAAATTGCAAGCTTTATGTTACAATAAAAAATTATTGTTTTGGTTATTACCAACCAATTTTATTATTATATGCATAAGCATAAATGTTTTTCAAAGATACAATTTTAATTTTCTTATGCGTGCCTACTTGTATAAGAACATATCTGCGATTGTATGAGATTAATTTTTTTTATATTATGACGACAATTGTCTTCGTTTTTCCATATATCGATTACTAGAAGTAATACTAGCAAAAAATCGATTTTAATCACGAACTGGTCGTATCCGCGAATCACCGTGCAAATGGGGAGAGGGGACCACGATCGTAAATCACCGAATCATCGGAGATTTAACGCAAGCGTTACATCCCCCCTCCTCACCAATCCGTATACTAACTCTTACGCACTCCGTTCCTACCCGTTGTTGTAAATATGTAAATATGCTCTTTCGAACATAGCTGTATCATTTTATTTCCTCGTTCAAACCTTGACAAACCTTGACACTCGTGATACTTTGCTATCATGATAAGTGATGCGAACAAGCATTTGAATCCTTTAGATACACTTGTATGTGTATAATAAATTTGATGTTTTAATAAATAAGTTTTAATGGTATGCTCGACTTTGAGTATTTGTTGGTAAAATTACCGATTTGGTATGTTAATTTTTGAAACTTAGAGCGGTGAAGAAGTAAGTGAATGTGAAAAATATTCTTAATAAGCTGCTCATATCAATGATATTTAAGCTATAAGAATAAAATCGCAAATCGATTTACCTTGCGGTTTTATTTTTTTAAGACTATTTTCAGGAACATGGCGGCGATCACAAGATTTAAGATTTAAATGAAATTTTGAATGACACGTTGTATTATATTATTTTGTATTCATTATAGTCTTCTAAATTACGAATTTTGTATATTACGAAGAAAAATATATTTCGGGTGTGCAGATAAGATTAAATTTGTTTAAGAATATGTTCTAAAATAAGAGTAAGCGGTATGTATTTCTTCTGTTCATCCGTAAAAACAGTTGAAAAGGGTGAATGATCCCATAAAACTTGTATTTTTATGTATTTACTTATTTAGTTTGAACGTTTATTATGCGCGTGATTTTGAAATATTTATAAGATAATTGAATTTGTAATAATGGCACCCAATAATTTATATTATTTAAAATAAAATTATAATATATACAATTTACATATTATGTAATTATTATTTGCTTTAATATAGTAAATATATGACAGAATATTTTTTGTTATTTCAGTAAACAAGCAAAATGGAGATGAAATCGGTAGTGCCGGTAATTCGGTCGAAAATATCCCTGAGAAAGGTGAAGTTGAGGCTACGAAGGAGGGTGAAAAAGAAAAAAACAATGTTATTACTAACAGCACAGATGAAAACGAAGAGGAAAATGATAAAGATAAGGACAAGGAAGTTGCTAACGAACAGGAAGTAGTGTTTATTCAAGATATGGGTTTTAATGTCAAAATCGTTAGTCCAGGAGCTGAACCTTTCGACATTCAAGTTTCAAGTATGGAACTTGTTCAGGTTAATATTAACATTCATTATCGTATAATTTTTCGATCAAACCTTTTCCACAATCAATTAATTAATAACTAAACAAAAGAACATCATTGTAATTGCAAATAAGGGAGTACAACTCGGTAGAACTCAGCCGTTAATTTATTTAGATATTTAATTGTTGCATTACTTTTATTGAGCTTATTAATAATAAGTATTTTTCAATTTCTTTGGATGTGGGAGGGGGTGGGGGAGGGGGAGGGGGGGAGAGGAGGAGGAAACATAATGAGCGATAAGACCAAAGTAACCATTGCCTGGCATTACGTTTAGGAAATACATCAACTATTGATGGATCGCGAGGACACGTGCCATCGCACTTGCTTCTCACTGCAGCTCGACGGCAATACACTGGACAACTTTGCCGAATTAAAGAACATCGAGGGCTTGAAGGAGGGTTCGATAATTAAGGTCGTCGAAGAACCTTACACGATGCGCGAGGCGCGCATACACGTGAGACACGTACGCGATCTCCTGAAATCCATCGATCCAGCCGACGCTTACAACGGCTTCGAGTGCAGTAGTCTGTCATTTTTAAACGTCGTCACTCACGGCGACATCCTCGAGAAGAAGAAGTCAAGAGCTGACTCGGTCGACTGCACGCCACCGGATTATATTATACCCGGTGGTAAAGACAGACCACTGATGCCCTTGCAGCCACAAGTCAAGGAGCAGAAGTATCCACCGTGTTTGAAGGTATAATATCCCATGCGATATTGGCAGCTTAAACCTTGTAGATCCGATGCTTTTGCAAACTTGTGATGCTTTTAAACGAACTCGATTGAGCTTTTCATTAAAATCGTAATAATCACTCGTTGCCGTTCGTCTCACCAAGGGTATCCCACGGATGATAACGATTAACGTAGCATAAGAACGGCATAAATTTTTTAACTAAATTTGAATTAAAACGTTGCAAAAATAGTGTAATTAGCAAAGTGTAAAAGCCGCTAAAAATCTTTTATGAAGGTTCTGACGACGTCAGGCTGGAATCCACCACCAGGTTACCGGAAGCTTCACGGCGATCTAATGTATCTGCACGTGGTGACGCTAGAGGAGAAGCAATACTACTTGACGGCCTGCGCTCGTGGCTTTTTCGTTAATCAGTCGAGCAAAGAAGTGTTCAATCCGAAACCAGCGACGCCCAGTCATCTCTGCCATAGTCTTATCGAACTCTTAAACCAGCTAAGTCCGTCGTTCAAACGTGGCTTTGCCTCGATGCAACGACGTCGTACTCAGCGGCATCCCTTCGAGAGAGTGGCCACGCCTTATCAGCTTTACGCCTGGTGCGCACCTCAGATCGAGCACACCATCGACGCCATACGAGCCGAAGACAGTGAGTTTCGATTCATGTTCTTCGTGTCTTACGAAATAGCCTTAAAAAATTTCTTGCAATGTTGTATTAAGCCTTGGGTAATTGAATTGAGTGCCACCAATACTATCGATACACCAAGTGTTTAGTAAATATCATTGATACGTAGAAAATAATTGAGATTTATCTTATCGAGGCAGGAGAACTTTGCTTTTCATTGGAAAATACGCATTCGGTTGGTGTCATTGGTGCTTAATGTTAAACATCAATTTATCTAATTGGACACGCATAGTCAAAAAGTGAAATATTAATCAATAGCTACTGCTTTATCAGAGATATTTATCATGATTTTTGAATCGTCAATTCATTATGGATTTATAAAATTAATATTTCATAAATGGCTCAAAAAAAAAAAAATTCTTAACAACAAATAGCTACGCGTAAATTATATAAGCATACAATTTATGATTTATTTATTCTTTCACTACAGGATTCTAAAAAAATATTTATAACTTATCTTTTTTCGACTTTTTTCTTCTTCATCTTCGTTTTTTTTTTTACCACATTTTTAAGGAGTAATTTATTTACAATAGGATTGAGTTTAATAATTTCATTTAATAACTGTCATTAATAGCGTTCACCTCGAAACTTGGCTACGAAGAACATATACCCGGACAGACAAGAGATTGGAACGAGGAATTACAGACGACGAGAGAATTACCTCGTAAACATCTTCCAGAAAGACTACTGCGAGAACGAGCAATTTTTAAGGTAATTATTAAAGTTATTGCCGTTACGCTTGTGTGTGTGTACGTAATATGTGCAGTGCATTATGTATGTATATGCGTGTGTGTATGTATATGCAGGTGCACAGCGATTTTGTAGCAGCCGCGACGAGAGGTGCAGTCGCTGTGATCGATGGCAATGTCATGGCCATTAATCCGGGCGAGGAGCCGAAGATGCAAATGTTTATTTGGAACAATATTTTTTTTTCGCTTGGCTTCGACGTGCGCGAGCATTATAAAGAATTGGGGGGAGATGCCGCTGCTTTTGTCGCACCCCGTAACGATCTCCAGGGTGTCAAAGTATACGCAACGGTCGATCTTCCTGGGCTTTACACACTTGGAACTGTTGTTATAGATTATAGGTAAGCTTTGACGATCCACCCCAATAGTTGGATAATAAATATTAATAATTTGTAGAAATTTATTTAAAATTTACGTAAAAGAAACGCACGATCTATCGTAACTGCTATTATTATTATTATTATTATTATTATTATTATTATTATTATTTTATATTCTTTTGCAATACAAAGTCTTTCAACAATTGTGTAATTTTAGTATTTTAAAGCGAGCACAATGTTATATTAAGCTGTGTCTCGTAATAAAATTTGGAGGTATAATTTATCAAAGAATAAATCATTTAGAAATTGGTCATTTTTGTATTTCGTGGTAATTTCGTATAAATTGCGCTTAATGTGCTCGTCAAAGTTAAAAGATCATTTACGAATTCTCACATAAATTTCACAAATTCAACGCATTCTCTATTATCGTCTGGGATAAAAAAAATTATCACGGAAATACATAGTAGATTATTAAAATAAAAAACATGCTAATTTTGCAAATTAATTAACGTATCAATTATTTTTATTACAGAGGATATCGTGTTACGGCACAATCTATTATTCCAGGAATTTTAGAACGCGAGCAAGAGCAATCTGTGGTCTATGGTTCTATTGATTTTGGAAAAACGGTCTTGACTCATCCCAAATATCTCGAATTTGTAAATAAATTTTTAATCTAATGAATATACTTAACAAAAAAAAAAAAAAAAAAAAAAAAAAAAAAAAAAAAAAAAACAAACAAACAAAAAACGAAATGTAGAGTATTTTTATTAATGAACTTATTTTTATTGAATTTAGTTGAATAAAGCTGGGTTTCAACTAAAAATTCTTCCACACAAAGTTATTAATGCCGCAGATGAGGAAGTGGAGCTTTGTAGTAGTGTCGAATGCAAAGGAATTATTGGCAATGACTCTCGTTACTATGTTTTGGATTTACTAAGAACGTTTCCTCCAGACGTTAATTTCTTAAAATGTAATTATAAAAACAATATTTCACATAAATTACAAGTCTCGTTTAATTTCACATACGAAAGAAAATTGTAATAAAAAAATGTCCAAAGTATGGAAGCAAAAAAGTGTAAGAGCCGTTAAAGGCTATTGAGTTTATAGTCAGAGGCTGATTTATATATAATATAAATTGGTTGTATCTTATGGTTTATATATAATTAAATAATAGACGAGTAATTTAGAATTTGGGGCATTTTTTAACGATAATCGCATAAGATAAGAGACAAGTGCCTTTAAATAAATGTAATATAGATTTGAGGACAATTGGAGTTTAAAGAAGTTTAGGGTTATACTAGAAAATATCACGGATTCAAGTTCTATTTCTTTTTATTGGATATTCTTGGCGTAGATTTTTAGGAACTTTCGGTGGTTGTTCGATACGGTGGAAAACACTTAAGAGGTGCAAATATATATGATGCTCTATTAAATGGAAAATTACGCTTAAATGAGTACGCAAATGGAGAAACGATTGAATTCTATTGAAGAAATTTTAAATATGTCGATTAAAAGATCACCTTTGCACCAAATCTTAAATATTTTTAAGATAAAAAAATATTCGAACACCAAATTTATATATTTGTTATATACAAAGTTATATACAAATATTGAAATCTCTCTAAGATTATTCAATAAAACTTTGTACCTAAATTAGTTTAATAATTATGAAAGTTGCATAATTGTTAATTATGTTGATGCATTGCGCAGTATGCATAATTTGGAATTTGTATAAAATTTGTATGATTATTTTTTAATTTTTAAAAATTAAAGACAACATGCATTGATAATTTAGCTGATAAAGTTGTTTAGTAGAAAAAGTAAAACTTACGCTATACTAGGTGGTTATACACGTTTAATGTGAACGAGAAAATGAATATTATTTTTTACTCTATTTTAGTAGAAGGTGTTGAATTAAGTAAGGAAGCTCGAGCTTTGGGCTTTCCAATTGAGCATAAGCACAAATTAGCTTGCCTACGTCAAGAATTAATCGATTCATTTGTGGAAACAAGATACATTCAGTTTATTAAACACGCCGCTGTACATTTGAAACAATTTACGTCAGCCAAACGAACGCAAAAGGAAAAAGAAATTTCTGCTAAAGTAAGGATAAGCAAAAATTATGAATTTTCAATGGTTTAAATAATGTTGATGATGATATGTATTCAATTTTTTAATAGGAAGAGAAAAAAGAAGATCAAAATTACATGGCTATCGATAGTAATAAAGAAACTTCTAATCAATCATCGATTGAAGCCGATGAGGCAAAAAAAATTGTTGAAACTATTACCGATTCTATTACTAGTGGCGAAAAACAAGATTGTAAGTGCCTCTGTTGTATTATTTTTCTATACATATATATATATATATATATATATATATATATATAATTACACGTTTTATTATCTAATACGTAGTGGAAGAAAGTACAAAAGAAATAGTAAGAAAGGCAGCAGCGGCAGTTGGAAGCTTACGCGAGACAGAATTCGATGTAAAATTCAATCCAGACGTTTTTTCACCGGGTGTGCGTCATCCGGATCCTGATGGACCGCTTTTAAAGAAGCAAAGGCAACTTGTCAAAGATGCTGCAGACTTTTTATTAACTACTCAACTGCCTACTTTTGTAAGTAGTATATTTATGTCGTAAATATACGTGTTCTTTGTGAAATTTGTTAAAAACAAATCTTATTAAGCATAAAATTAAGTCTAATAATATTTTCGTGACGATGAAAGTGCCTCGAATATTTTGGCAGTTTTCTTAAAGTATAAAGCACATAGTATTTTATTAGATATTGAATGACATATGGCCTATACGACATTGCACACCATTGGCATTATTAAAATCTTAAAATCGCGTTCGAACGTTTCATTCTAGATTCGCGAATGCTTGGATCATACTCCAGCTGCTATGGATGGCAATACTTTAATAGAAGCCTTACACGGACGAGGAATTAATGTTCGATACCTTGGTAAATTGGCATCAATGTTAGCTGCAGTCAGTCAATTACAGTATCTACATCGAATAGCCGTTTCCGAATTGATTCTGAGATCTGCTAAACATATTTTTATTTCATACATGCAGGTAAGGCAATGAAAAAAATGTGTACAAATATTTTGAAGAAAAGAAAATGTATTAACAACGAGTTTTCAGGGGGCTGAATTAATGAGCTTATCCGCTGCAATCAGTCACTTTTTGAATTGTTTTCTGTCATCCACTCAACTTATGCATCCGCAACAAAATCTTGAAGAATTACAGAGCAAAACGGCGAAACGACGCAATAAGAGGAAAGGCAGGAGCAATGGGCCTCAACAATCTGAAGTTGAATGGGCCTCACTGACGTCGAAGTCACTTTGGCAGCAGATCAAAGTAGATTTAAAGAATTACTATGATTGGGAAGTTCCTACGCCTGAATCTCTCGATGTTACGATCGAACATTTTCATTTACAAAAGATTTCATTGTTGAGGGCATTTTGTATTAAGGCTGGTATTCAAATACTATTGCGAGAGTATAATTTTGAGAATAAGAATCGTGCGACATTCTTCGAAGAGGATATATTAAATATCTTTCCAGTTGTTAAGCACATTAATCCAAGGGTACGTTTTTTTTTTTTTTTTGGCTTTATTATTTTATTTTTTATTTTTTTTTCTTATCGAAGAATTGTTGTAATTTGTTTTGGTAAACAGAAGCGATTAATAATAAATTGTCTAAACAGTGTAAATTGAAATCTAATATATCTAATTTGTGGGATGTTTTCAAACGATTATATATTAACAGGCAAGCGATGCTTACAATTTTTATACAACTGGACAAACGAAGATACAGCAAGGATACTTAAAGGATGGTTATGAAGTTATTAACGAAGCTCTTAATTTGTTAAACAATGTTTATGGGGCTATGCACCCTGAAATAGCCCAATGTCTTCGAATGCTGGCAAGATTAAATTATATTATGGGAGATCACGTGGAAGCTCTTGCAACTCAACAAAAAGCTGCTCTCATGTCCGAACGAGTTAACGGCATCGATCATCCTTACACAATTATCGAATACGTAAGAATTTTATAGTTAGTTAAAACATTGTATTTTTATTGTCCACTAGAGCATTTAATTCACGAAATCCTTGAAATTAGTATATAATATTGAAAGTATAGCTAAGATCGAAAATCATAAGGCAAGCATTTTCATTTCAGATTCATTTGGCTTTATATTCGTTTGCTAATGGTCAAGTGTCAGTATCATTAAGACTCTTGTACAGAGCAAGATATCTCGCATTACTCGTATGTGGCGAAGATCATCCAGAAGTAGCATTGCTCGACGTAAGTATTCTTTGAAAATATATTAAAGTAGACGCGCTCGATCATTTCTCCGTGATTTCAATAGCAGATGCATCTAGATAGATTGGTTGGTGTGCATAAAAATAAAAGTTCACGTTCTATGTTTGAATTATTAACGTTAACGAAATGCTAAACTTTAGAAAAATTGACGTTTCTTTTTCAGTTTATTTAACTGTAAATATATATATATATATATATATATATATATATTTTTTTTTTTTTTTTTTTTTTTTTTTTTTTTTAATTAAATTAAATTAAATTAAATTAAATTATTCGTCCAATCGAATACAATTGAATGCAATATCGAATAATTGCAGTAATAAAGAATTTTTTCGGTACCGATTTGCAAATAATTTTAAATGCGAGATAACGATGATTGCACAAGCTCGTCAAGTGCTATTATATCCAAGGATTTATTTACTTCTTATTAAAAAGTACTTTGTTCTTCTTGTTTTCGCTCTTCATACGTGGCAAAGATAATTTTTCCTTTGCTTCCTTCGAGCATTATGACTAATATTAAGCAATTTTCCACTTCCAGAGCAATATCTCGCTAATCTTGCACGCGGTCGGCGAGTACGAGCTCTCGCTACGCTTCCTGGAGCACGCGCTGGCCTTGAATCTGCGTTATCACGGCTCGCGTTCCTTGAAGGTCGCCGTATCGTATCACCTTGTGGCGCGCACCCAATCGTGCATGGGCGACTTCCGCGCTGCCCTCAACAACGAGAAAGAAACCTACGCCATCTACAAGCAGCAGCTCGGCGAGGATCACGAGAAGACGCGCGAGAGCAGCGACTGTCTGCGCCACCTCACCCAGCAGGCCGTCGTCCTTCAGAAGAAAATGAACGAGATTTATACGGGCAAGACGGGCGTCAGCTTGCCCCCGATACAGATTCAGCCGCCGAGCATGGGCTCCGTCCTCGACATGCTCAACGTCATTAACGGCATTCTATTCGTGCAAATCAGTCAGCAAGACATCGAGAATTTCAAGGCGGAGATCGCAAAGCGCCAACCCACGACATCGAGTAAAGGTAACGGCCTCCTCAACGGCATCGATGACTTATCCGACAATAAATCAATAAAGGAGTCGAGCGACAACGTGACGACCTTCATCGAGCCAGCCGAGGCATTTATCAAGGAGCTAACCAACGAGCAGATAATCGATCTCAAGGACTCGATCAAGGAATTAGCTAAGGGCCCGATCAAGGAATTGACAAAGGAGCAGCAGATCGTGGTCGCCGAAAGCTGAGCTGCCTATCGCCGTACTACGCGCGCCCGACTTCATTCTCATTGCACTCCTCCTCGATAAATAACGTACAATCCTAGTCTTTTTAATGTAGGAAGCTTATTACGTGGCTTTACAAGGTTGTTTTTTTTTTTTTTTTTTTTTTTTTTTTTTTTTTTTTTTTAAATTTTTAATTTTACACTTCTTGATCGCTGTATAGTTATTAGAGTATTAATGTTAATTTTCTCCTTTTATTGCAATATTTTTTAATTTATGGAGAGCGAAAAGTTATAATGAAATAATAATCGATATCATTCTACTACTTGGTTTCCGATAGCTTATAACTCGATTTGTGACTTTGCATATATTGTAGAACAAAGGTGTTCGATTTTAATAACAGTTGTTATTTAATGTTTAATAACAAACGGGGAGGGGGGGGGGGAGAAAAAAAATAATAAATAATAAAACAAGCAAACAAATTATTACCTTGAGACGCTCAATTGCAGAAAGGAGAATGATAGACTAACCATTGAAAGCAGAAATCTAAAGATGATGCCGATTCTATGTATTACTGCCGATTTAGTACATAAAATCCAAAATTTTGTTATCAAGAAATATTGATAGATTTACAAGTGCCACGTTGCAAAAAGAATAATGTAGACGAATGGATTTCGAGATAGTACGAACATTAAAATTACGATTAAGCGATTAAGTTCTTTTTCATACTGGCTAGAAATTTCTTTATGCGCAATATTCCAATATTTATACTGAATAAGCTACGAGCTGTAAAATTATAATTGTTCCAATTTATTAAACTAATTATGCCAAATTAAATTATCATCCGATTAATTTTTTGATTACTTGTTTTTTTTTTTTCTTCTTTTTTTTTCCTTTGTTCCATTCAATAAACTTAACGAATTTCTTCGTATACGATTAGAATATGATTTTATTCAATAAATTTCATACAGTAAAGTTATTGATCGGAAAATTGTTGAAATGGAATATTTATATGTTTTCCTTGAAATAATCTTCAGCTACGCGAATGTTATTAAGTCATTGTAAATTAAATTATAACCAATGAAATGTTTCAAATTAAAAATTCATAAATGCTTATGAGCAAAAGAGTGATTTGAAAAAGAAATTACGAATCGGAATATCATATTTATTCTGAAATTTTTACTTACAATTTTCTAGCCAGGTACTTCAAAAACAAACAAACAAACTAACAAACAAACAAACAAACAAACAAAAAAATAATAATAATAAAAAAAAAGTAATAAAAAAAGATAATAATAAATATAAAATATAAAATATAAAATAAAATAAATAAAAGTAAAATAAAGAGACTGTTAGAAAGTTATTGATTTATTCAATAGTGTGTATACTTGTCGATATTTTTACAACCTCGTGTGTTTTTATGGTAAAATGTTACAAATTCTTGTACCGAAACTTCATGAAATTGCACTATTACTCGCGAATATATAATTGCATGTAAATGGGTTTTTTCTTATTAAGGCCGAACAAAGAAAAAATATGTGATTTTTATATATATAGTTATATTTGAATTTAAATGGCAGCGAATAGAGTTGTTATTAAAAATTTTATTAATCTTTCTCTGCACATTTTTTAATGTTTGTAATTATGAATATTATTTCTGTATTGCGTGCTGAATGCAATTTAATTTACAAATAAATTAACAAATTATTTGATTTAACCGAAAAATTTTACTAATATTATAACATATTACATAACAAAGACCGCACGTGGGTGCAATGGAGCCTCTCGTCCATTTAATAAGAGGAAATGAAAATTTCTTTTTGCAAAAAGTAATGGAAAGCATATTAATAGCGAATGTAGATTTGGAATATTATATTCATGCATTCATATAATAATTATCTTGTAATTAATTTCTTATGTAATTTGACATATAATTTTCAACACAATAACGCTTAATAGTTAAGTTTTTCACTTTGTAATTTCAACGATTATTTAAACGTTTCTACTTATAAAATGAGAATTTTCGTTTTCGTAACGTACTTCTAAACAATTAATCAATCTATTCAATTATCATTATAAAACTTTTCATAAAAGATCGATTGCAATAAATAAGCGTTAAGCTTAATTTGTTTGTATTTCCAAGTAAAGCTGCAATTTCATTGCGTAATATTAATATAAAATTTCATACGATATTGATATAAAAAGTATACACCAAAAGTGCTTCCTTCATTTTTAATTTATTTTATATACGTGGAAGGAAATTTTCAACAGTTTTTGATTCTTGAGAGTCGTTTCATTTATTTTTTTTTTTTTCTTCAATTTTTATTAATGAAAGAAGAGCAATAAAATTTTTGCAATTTTATATACATTGTTGACTGACACGACTTTTTTAATAACGTAATCCTACATTTAAATGAAATTATACAATAATAAATAATATAGTTAGTTCGATAAAACAGTTTAAAAATGAAACCAAATAACGCGAAATGTCAAATGCGAAATTTATATTACAGTAGCGTTAAAATAGAAATAAGAATTGTATTGTAGGTAAATATAGAGTCGATAAGATTATTGTTACCAAAATGTTGATTGCTTTCTTTTCGTTTTTTTTTTTATGCACGCTATTTTAAAAATACCATAGATACGAATTGAAGCTTCGAATAAATTTCATATATAATCGAAACCATAATAAATAATTTTTCAAACGTAATTGCTGTGAACATACATAGTAACAAATTTAATCTGTCGATCAGAAATTGTTAAATTGAATAAAATAGCTTAATTATTCGTTAAAGCTGCATTAATTGAATAAGATCAAAAATTCAATACGAATTGAATTTACTAATTGAGTGTAGTTTAAATTATGTCAATTATTCGTTGCGTTTTAATGCTCTTTATTAATTTTTATAGTTATCAGAATGAGAGTTGTTTGATAATAATTGTGACGATGTTAATTAGTAAGAAGTGTCAGTTTAAGTTACGTTAATTATGGCGTATTACCATCAGTCATCGCTTTTTTCTTTCTATGTTTGTTATGTCAAACATTGTATTGTACTTGTTAGTGAAATTGTACCATACAAAAGATATTAGCCAATAAGGATTACTTATAATGAAGTTAAATGCCTAATTTACGTATATCATCTGTTATGTAATTTGGTAAAAAAAAATCACAGTAAATAAAACATTTTGTATATGAAATTTAATAATATTAATCTAATTACAACTTTTTCATAACGAATTAGTGCATGGAAATTCGTACATTTATGTACTATCTTTTCCTCTTTCTTTTATTTGGTTTACTTGAATTTTGTTTTTGCCAAAAATCTCGAATTTTTAGCTTATTTATTATATATTGGCGGAGAGTTTCTAAACTTACTTTACCACCGCAACCGCTTTCGTAAATCATACAAATTTTAAATATTTTGGTATCATCATTTTTTTCATTACTTTCACTCGTTTCACTATTTTCTCCTACAACCAGGGTACAAATCAATAACGGTTCGGCTGATTTTGTACCGTCATCTTCGTTCGGAGGCGTTGGACCCGATCGATTGAATTGTGCGCTTTCCATTTCATTATTGAATTCTGAATTTTCTATACAGGACTTTTTTAAAGCTTCCTGACGCTTAATCATGCGCCGTTTCCTTCTAGCGTGAGTCCACGTATCATAATGCCCTTTCAATTTACAAGCCCAGCACGGATAATCAGCACTAAATTCTATTTCTTTTATTTTTATCTGTAATACATACATTACATTTTACATTTTACATTTTACATTTTACTATTTAAAAGTCAAGTATAACATAAAAGGTTCATTATTTCTGTAATCGAGATATGATAATACATTGATAACAAAATCAAGATGTTTAAATATTAAATTACTAAGGTATAATTTTTCATTTGCTATTTCATCTATCAAAAATGAACTTTAAATTAGAAAAAACTTAATTACTAAACTTCATTTTAATTATATAAGGCATACAAACGTTCAATTCAGTCATCCATTTTTTTAAATTAGAAACAATCTCATCCATACAGCTTAAATTTTCTTTAGGCGGAAAAATTATTTCCATCGATTGATCTTTCTTCGATTTTAATACTTCTGTTCTTGTCCTTATAACTGGTGCGGTAGTTAAATCTACATCGCTTTTTGCAGCAAACGACCAAGCTATGCCCCATCTGTAATTAAAATTAATTACTTTAAAGTACATTGAATTAGCTGTAAATTGTATAATATAAAAATTTACATATTCATTATTGTTCCAAATTTTTATCTACATTATTGTTTACATTTAAAATTTGCTTTAAAGATTGTTAACGCAACGTTATATTATTTTGAAAGAAGTTTTAAATTACGAATACAGGTGCATCCATATGGATCTTTGTAAGCGACTAGCGTAGGAAAAAATAAATAATACATTGTTTTGTTTCACCACCTAAACCTTTACATCTACTTTTCACTACTTTAATTTCACAAACATATTAGAAAATAATTCTTTTATTACAACATACCTCTTAGTATAACCTTGACAAAATTCTGTCCATGTTACATTAAATATTTCATTTTTTGCTAATTCACCTTTTATAAAACTTAAGCTACTTTTTTGTCCAAACATTGTTGTGTAGATTTTTACTCTATTTTTAAATTCGACACTTTCTTTAACTAAACGTAAAATAAATTCTTTCTCTCCACCATTAACTTCCAATTCGGTTTCAATACCGGTTGGAGCATTCCTAGGAGGCTGTAGTTTTGATATTTTCCTTATGTTTTTATCAGTTTCAAAAAATGGTGGATTACACATTACGAATGAAATATCATGTTCTTGTAAAACGTCTTTTAAAATCGAGTCTTTCTTTACTAAGACAACTAGAATGAAGTAAGGAGGCATTTATTATACGATATCAATAGCAATTTGTTCGCATTTAACGCCAATATAGAAATGAAGAATAATTGAAAAATTATTCTTAATAGAAAATAAGATACCTTTTACTAAATCTTGTAAATGATTAATTTGACTATTTTTTATTGCCGATCTCACAGTTTCGCTATCTATATCTGTACAAGTCATTTTACTTCTAAAGATTCTAGCTATTAACAATGGATATATGCAAATTGCACCGGTTCCTAAAACATTTAATTGATTAAAATTATAACTTGTTGGCGAACGGCAAGAATGAATTTTTAAACAAATACCTATATCTATCCCATGAACCAATGATAAATCAATAATGCCACTGTGCTTTAAAAGATCCTCGATCCATAATATATAATTCAATCTTAATGGTAGTGCAGGTACTAAGTTATTTAAAGGAATTTCAACGTCCAAATTGAAATCATGTTTCAATAAAGTTTTTGTCAGAACTCTCAGTGTCTCCTCGTTCTTAAAATTTAGCTTAACTTTTCCTGCAATGTCCTAAACGTTAAAAACATTACGATTGAGAACATTATCAATTATTAATTATATATTTTTATTATAATTAGCATTGATTATCATAGATAACGAAATAGTTATATTAAGTCTGGGCTTACGGTAATGACAACTTTACGAAATTCTGGATATAAAATAGCAAGTTGCTTGAAATTCGGTTCTTCCTTATATTTGTTTCTTTTGTGCATAAATTTTCTCAAAGACATTGCGATTGGTAATATCGTAATAAGCCGTTGTTTATAACCTATAAATTCCCTTACGTATATTAATTCTCTTTTCAATCGATTAATTTCGTATACACTTTTTTCTTTCTTTCATTTTGCATAAATGTACAACATTAGTCATTCTACTATTTTCAATTAACTCGCCCTTGCGAATATTCCTAATTGCGAGTCCGATATTCAAAAACTGGCGCACTAGCAAACTCGCTAGATAAATAGACTCCCAAACAAACATTTACGATCTAACGTTTTAACGAAGACGACACACGCAACAGTGCACATTACAATCTTACTTGATCGCGCAGCTGCTGTCACGCGCGCACACATCCATGCAAATCACAGCTATCGAACTTTCAAATAAGCCAACCGAAATTTCTTCCGGTCCTCGTCGAACGCCGCACCCAGCAGGTGAACATCCTCGCCGCATCTCCGACTGCCCGGGCTTACCTATCCCCTACCTATCCTCCCTCCCTCCCTCCTTCCCTCCCCGAGGCCAATTTACACGCACGCACGGCTCTCGGCCTGCAATTCGCCCTTATTATTAGCGCTGATTACGAAAGTAAACGGAAACAAATTTCAGCGACGAGTTATAATGGGTGGAAGAAGCGATCGGTCGTAGGCAGATACGCCGAGTCCCAGATGCCGCGTAACCAGAAGCGAATGCTTGTTGACGTTTAAAAAGCCGCGGGCTTTCCTATTTGCCAATTTCGACCTTACATTTATTTATATGGTGCGATCTCTCGACTCCAGCCGCGGAGCCAGACTCGGCCGAGCTCGCTGTAATTACCTTAGGAGCGATGTGAAAAGTGTCAACCACCGTGAGAAGACGTAAAGGAGCCAACACCTGTTGCTTGGCCGTTAATTATCTCCGCATAAAACCATGGCTTATCTTTTGAAGAATCTGACGCACAGCATTTGGCACGCATTTCACGCGTTGCAACACGATGTGTCAGGGATTGTTGCTAAATCGAAGCTAAAAGTGAGCCGTTTAAACATTATTCCGCAGAAAATTTTTAAATCGCCAAATAACTCGAAGCTCCATCGGATATTCGACCGCGTGAACTCACCTCTTTAATCCCCTTGCTCGCCTCGACTTTCACTTTTTCCTAATAATTTTTTTTCCTCACCTTACACCATTTCTAATTATTATTTATATGCAATAGTTCATACGCTCGTATACCGACACAAGCGATGCACGTGTGTGCGCGCATGCACGTATAGGCGCATGACCATGCATACGAGGGAGGCAGAAAGGGAGAAAAGTTATGTAAAATTTTAAGCACGATTCATGCATAATCGATAATTTCAAAAACTTTTTATTTTATATATATAGCATGTGAAACTTGGTCACTGCTATCGCTAGATTGTTGATATAAAAAAAAATTAATGACAAAAAAATATTTCTCTCTCTCTCTCTCTCTCTCTCTCTCTCTCTCTCTCTCTCTCTCTCTCTCTCTCTCTCTCTGTGTGTACGTGCATGTCTACTTACCTATTTCTCTTATATATTTTATTGTTGATATTTGTTCATTAGGTTTTGACAGCAAATATTGGAACTTTAATGGATCTTTATAGCGTTGAAAAGGGTTTGGAGCATTATCGAAGCACACAGACACTCACCTTCGAACAATATATATATTATTTACAAAAGGAGGTAAATATGTTCATGACAATTTCAAAAATCATCTTGCAAATTACTTGAATTAAATGCTCTATTATAGGTTTTCTCATCGTTGACCGATGCAACTTCGATTCAAACTTGTAGAACCTTAGAAGAGGGCATAGATGAAATTTGTTGGCTTGTTTGTCGAAAAATTTATTTAGACAGGCCTCACCCAATTTTCAAAGACAACAGCGTCTATCAATTATTCAGAATATTTTGCCTTCTCGCCGAAATGGAGTCTGATATTATGGATGCGTCTTATCTTGTACTCACTATCTTTTTATATTTATATTTGGCATGACTTTTAATACAAATTAATATAATTCTTCTTCATTTTTTTTATCTCTTTTAGGTAACAATGCACAGCGACGAAGTGGCTCAAGTCGCCTCTCAATTAGTGACATCTTTAGGTCTCTGTTGGGATGCTACAGATTTTTCAGCTTTGTCCGCAGCAATTGGAACTTTCCGGTACTAATATAAACGACAAATGTATAAGCATTTTGCGAAAGAGCACACAAATGCAGACAAATGCAATAGAGCATTACATATACAGCAGAACATATAAAGAAAAATTCTGCTCTGCAAAGTGTAAATTATTATGTAAATTAAGATATAATACCGAAGCATTAGTTATCATTAAAAATATTACCAGGTTTTATCCCCACACATTTAATTAAAAAGTAAACTCAATAATTATTGCAAAGATTACAATAGATTTACATTTAGTTTTCAATGTATTTTAATAATTAGAATATATTGAACTCGCTTTAATTCTATTTTCTAATAGACAGTTAATTTCTTTGCCAAATTTCTTTCTTAGCTTAAACATAAGTTCAAATTAATTTATTCCCTATTTGTCTAGATTTCCAACATTTTTGGCAGTTCTCGAATCAAAGTATAGCGGAGGAGGATCTTTAGACATCGATGGCCTCACAGAAGCAATCGATGATTTGTATCAAACGTATGTTGAAGATGTCATAAAGAAAGTATGCATTTTTCAATGCAATATTAATTTAAATGTCAAATATTCACAAAGTCGAAGGATTTAATTAATTTTTCTAAATTATTATAGGGTTATTTAATGAAGAAAGGCTACCTTCTACCGACTCTTCGATACTTCTGGTTTGTCCTACGACCTGGGGAATTAACTTATTATAAAGATTCGCAGCAAAAAGAGGCCTCGGGTATAATAATTCTAGATACTAATAGCTGGGCGGATGCTGTAAGCAATGGGGGAAAACCAGATAGACGCTTCATTATAAGTACGCCAGAACACAGGTGCATCGAGCTAGTCGCCGAAGATCATAGAGGCAGATTGCAATGGTTGTCGGCATTACAAATTGCTGTTCAACATTCAGGAGAAAAACTTAGCTACCAGAGAAGTCTTGCTAACCAAAGAAGATCGACGCGTCAGGTTTGCATTCGAATTTTGCAAATAGAAATCTATAAAATATATCTTCAAATTATATAATAACGCTGACCTTTTCAATCATTTTTAGGCTAGCAAACAGGAAAAGGAAGAAACGAGATTGGAATTGCAACTTGAGCGACAAGCAAGAATAGCTGCCGAGATTCAAGCTAGAAAATTAGAAGCAATTTCAAAGGAAGAATGTGCTAAAGTTCAGGAGCTTGAAGATGTTAAGCAGAAGCTGGAAATACTTTTGCAAGAAGAGAAACAAGCTCTCAGAGATGAAGAAATAGGTAAGAGTAATTGTAAAAGTGAATTTCATAAGAAATAATGTTGAGCTTGTTTTACTTTGAAGTTTTGTGATTCGAGATTGATAATTATTCATTTAAATTCATCATAAATTATACGTTTTACGCCTTGTTAAGAAAGCTTATATTAAACTGGTCTTATGGTAAATTGCTTCTTAATCTTAAAAGAAAGAAAATTGTTTTTACAAATAAAATTTTTCGAAATATGTCTTTAAATTAAAAAGTATCTGCGTTATAAATAATTTCTTAAAATGCTTAAAAAGATATGTGTGAAAAGCAAATTCACTCCTTTTCAGTAAGAAGTCTTCAAGCTCGTGTTTTGCGGGAAGAGTGGGAAAGGAGAGAGAATATGGAAAGGCTGCAGCAAGAGCAGCAGGAGCTTTTAGAATTGGAAAAACTTAAAAGAATGGAATTTGAATTGAAACAGCAAAAGAACGAAAGACAATTACAAGGTATGAAATTTGAATCTTATTAATTGTTAGTTTTAATTAATTATTAGAATTAGAATAGCGGAGCAAAATTCCAATCGATATTATTTTGAATTTAACCTTCTTTTTGCACTTCTATATCCTCTGTGAATGAAAGTAATTACGGGAGTGAAATAAGCCTGTGAGATTTTTAATATTAAAATTATTCTTTTTAACCATTAATATTAATATTTTTAAAAAAATTATTCACTTTAAATTTTACATAAATATAATAATAACATGTGAAAATATCGATTTAAACATAAACGCACATGTGATGTCCTGAATCAATCGTTATTGTATTTTTAGATGCTGAAATGAGACTTCAACAATTAGAAGCGGAAAAACAAAACTTAGATGCAGAATTGCAAGTAGCTCGTGAGAAAGTTAAGCGAACAGAAGAGGCACAAATTCTTCTAGAAACACAGCTAGTTACGACCAGACCACGAAGCGGAGAAAGAATAAGAAGAACGCAGAGTTTTATACCTACAACGAAAGAAAGATCGCTAGTTATTGATGACAGAGTATCGTTACAGAAAGATTGTTAAGATTTTATATGCCTATGTATGGTTTAAGTCATTTTTAAGTGACAAATCTTTGTATTATTAATATGAAAAGTCTGAACCTAGTTCTTATATTCTAAAATTGCTTGTAAAAATATTAAAAGAAAAATTTTAAGACTACCTGGTTGCCAGTTAAATATAAGATAAAAGAAATTAAGGGTACATATACTTCAGGGTAAAATTTTACAAAGTAAGTTCCTGAAAAATATCTTGCCCTATCGTTAGATTTTTCAAACGTCCCTAAGTATTTGTTATTATTGGCAGTATTTTCAATTTATTCTAATGTTCTTAAAGCTTTTTATAAGATCAAAAGAAAAATATAATAGTTTTTATAAATTAAAAATGTATTTTTATTACTGTTACATATGTATACTAATATTACATTGTTAAATACAATTTCAAAGTTATATGAAAGGAAAAATGTATATACCATATAAAAGTATATACATATATATTTTTTAATGAATTTATCAAATTCTATAATGAATTCATCATAATGTATTCATACGTAATTATGAAAATGATAATGTACTATATATTATAATATTTATTAAATATGAACATATTATATTATTTAAAATAAAAATAGCAGTTACGAAAAAGTGTTTTTCATTAACTACAATTAGTGTTTTTATTATTGATTAACTTATCAAGTGTTTTATAACTAATAAAGATATGGTTGACTGAACATTGAAATAATTTTATTTGTAACAATTCATTACTAAATAATTGTACTATGAATATTTCAATTATATTACTCATTTTTCAATCCTACAATGGTTTTATAAATATTATAGTTAATATATACTGATGACTACTTTAATCGGCTTAGTAAAGTCATGGCGATAAAAATATTGATCAAACACATATATAAGATGGTGCCAAGTGTTTTATAACAATTTTACAGTTGTATTGTTGTATATTCTACGGTAACATTTAATTTCAAAATGCCATCGAAGAATAAGAAAGGTAAAAATTCTAAACTTACTCGTATGAGCGAAGAGGAGCGAGCGAGATACTTACAACATCGAGCCGACATAGAATTAGAGGCAAAGCGACGAAAACAACAATTGATATTAATTTATACAAAAGTATGTATATAGCAAAACATAATGTGCTTATAAATACGTATATATAAAAATATTTGTACAAAGTATTATATTAAAACAAAAAAAGAAAAAAAAAAAAGAAAAAAAAAGTAGATGAAAAAAAAACCGTTCAATTGTAAATGTTTCAAATAGTAGAAAAATTATAGAAATTGTAAATATTAAGAGACTAATTGTTGATTTTGTTTTAGAATAAATTAAAACACGAAGAAGCTTTTACTCGCATAAACACATCAAAGCTTAATGAGCAATGGCGAATGATATTACGTCAAATGAAATGTACGATTCAAAAAGATAATATTGAATATTTACAACAAAATTTTGGAGAAATATTGAATACAAAAGAGACTTTTATACAGATATTATTCAAGGAACTACTAATAATAGATCGCGATCACAAACTATTTCAAGAAGCTCATATGACAATTATTGATAATATTTTAGGTCATTATAATAATTATTTTAGCCTTTATTATTAAGAAAACTAATATTAATTATTTAATTTCTCAAAATATATATATATATATATATGCATCCACGGGATAATATTAAACTTCATAGATATAACGAATACATACAATTTTGAAGAATATATACAAAAAATATTAATATTTAATATTGTGTTTACATTCATTTAACAGATTTATTATTATCAAAAAAATTAATTACTTTATATTAACATTAATACATTACATTCTGATACAAATAATAAATGATGAGGGTATAATAAAAATGTATAATTATCGGAGAATATTTGTTATTTTCTTTATAAAAAGTAAATTGTCAATAGGCATTAATATTCAATTTACTTTTATAGAAAATGGAAAAGAGAGAATAAGTCACTTTTATCATAATTATGAAGATCGCGTAAAAAAAATTCAAACAGAAGATATAGATGACCTAGAATGTACAAAAATTAATTTAAAAGAATTTCTAATGCATTTGAAAACCATAGCATTTGCCAAAAAGAAATGCGCAGAAGAAGAAATAACAGAGATAAGGACAAAACACGCAATTAACATTCATACTGTTTTATATGATGTAAGTTTTAATTATTTGACTAATATTGAATATTAGCAAAATGGAAATTTTTTTTGTTCTCGTAGAAAAATGAATCGATATTAAAATTAAAACGTCAAGTACATCCTATATTAGAAACCTTATGGCAACAATTAAATGAAATTATAACAAATTACGAACAATCAACAGACAATAAAAGAAAGCAATACGAATATTTAAAAGGACAGGATGATATTCATCAAATTGAGGCCGTACGGTTTCCTAAAATATATGCAACACTGAAAGAAAACATCGAAATGTTAAGTAAAAATTTTGTTTCATTAACCGAGAAAAGAGAAGAAACTATCGAAGATTTAAAAATGAAGTCTGAATTGCTTAATAAACGAGTATGTAAGCTAAAAAAAGAAATTAAAGTAGCTCAAACTATAGATGCAATGAACTTAAAACGATTGAGTGTTATAAGCAATGAAGTTATAAAAGTAAGTTAATTTAAATAAATTATAATTTATTAATTTTATTACGGAAAACAAACAACGCTAATTTTTCCTTTCGAATAAATAGGCAAATCTTAAATATAGTACGACTATAATTCCTTGTGCTTCAAACTTTCTAAACTTTATTAAAAAACACGTCAAAATGTTAATTAATTTTGTTTAATAATCATAGGATCTACAAAGAATTTTGGATAAAAGTGTAGAGCTTGAAAAAATTTCAAAATTATGTTCAGATGTCGAACTAGATTCCATAAGTGTAAAGAAATTTTCATTTAAAAGTTTTGAAGATACAGATAAAGTGATAAAATGTGAAAATAAAGCGTTTGGCCATTTGAAAAAAATCGAAGGCTTCCGTGATCATTTAGGTAGTATTAAAGAAGAAAATATTTTAATAAAGGAAGAGTATAGTAAGCTTCTTGAAGAAAATAACCGACTGAAGCATTATTTGCGAACTTATATAGTCACTGTATCAAAAATGCCAACAATTTGTTCAATAACACAGATCTGAAATCATAATAATGGAGTATTTTCGTAAATTATAATATTTAATACTTTTTCAATTGATAATAGTTATTCGCAGTCAAATTTATATATCAGATGAATAGAAAAGATTAACGTAAATAAACAAGTAGGAGCATTTATCTAAACTGGTATTTATTAAACATTATTTGTAATTTGTGATTAAATATAGTGTCATTATTTCATTAAAGTACAAATACAATTTATTATTTCATTTCAATTAAAAAATAGTCGGCACATATTTTTTATCCAATACACACGGAGGCACGCACGCACGCACGCATACACATATAACTAGATTAATATGTTTAATCTTTTACGTTTACATTCATATGAACTCACTGTAAAGTAGAAACTAATGTATTAAAAAATTTCATAATTTTAAATAAAAGTAATGTCGTAATGTTTACATTTCATTTCGTATTTTCTTTTATAATTGTACTATTTAATGATTGCTATAACTTATGATAATGACAAATTACTATATATTTTTTTACAAAATTAAAATGGAAATAAACAAATTAGTACATTCATCAGTATTAATTAGGAGCACAATTAAACAGATTGTGCATTTATGTATAATTAAAAATTTTTTTTGAGCCCAAAATACATTGAAATTATTTTACAACAAATACATGATCTTAGGTAATATCAATTATTAACAAAGGTACTACAAGTTTGTTAAACCAAGCTATACAATACACAGTATATAATGAAATAAAAAATTCCATAACAGAGTTTTTTATATAAATAAATGTGCTAATATAAAAATAATATACAATATCTAAAAAGTATATATATATGTATATATATTATATATAATTTTCTTAATATTTATATATACACACATACATACATACATACATGCACACACACACACACACACACACACACACACACACACACACACACACATATATATATATATATATATATATCTATATATATATATATATATATTAAGAAAAATATTAAAATAAAATAATAAGCTGAAAAATAAGACACATTATTGACTGTAAAATTTCTGTAATTTATTTTCATTTTATTTAAAAATCTTACCACTCATTGAAAATAATAATGTAATTATGATTAAAACCTATCGATGAGTGAATATGCCACCCCCAATTTCTACATATTTGTAAGGGCGGGAGCGAGTTCTGCCTCGGACAGAATGAAAAAAAATTTTTTCTCGTGGTGCCATACTTTCTGTTTCCAAGTATATGTCGAAACAAGATCTGAGTCGTTGAAGTTGAGCAGACAACGTCGGAGGTTTATCCCACATTACGTTGATTTCACGTTCAATGTCCCGATGAATGTCCACTCCGGCAGATATATTTGAATTAAAAATTATTCGAAAAACTGATGTAACTTTGGGATAGTCTGGCTTAATTGCAATATATGCCACTAGTTCACCTAAAAATAATTATAATTAAGCAAATATTGTCTTGCAACTGTTTAATATAAATTCACATTGTGCTGTGAAAGTAGAGGGAAGAAATGTTAAGAATATTATATAAATTTTATAGTGGAAATTTTTTAATTTGTTTTCAAAAAATTTTATAAGCAACTGTAAACTGTAACTCTTTATCATTAAAAGAGAAAATATCAGTTAGATATAAATTAAAATATGCGAATAAAATGTAACTTCGTGAAACTCACTACTTCCACGTCGTAAAATGGCTTCATAAAATATATCGGACGATGTCATAAAGTTCTCTTTATGTGATTCTGAATAATTGAATGTATTACAATAATTCTTCCACGATGAAATATTAAATTTATGAAGAATTGTGGCTATTTTCTGTGGTATGGCATCGATCGAATCTGTGAATATAGATAAACTGCCCGATTCCAATTGACGTATTTCTGCGCACAAATCCAATCTTGCTCTCACTCGTTTCTTTATTTCTTTCAGTACACTTTCGACGCTATCTTGTCCATTATCTTGAATAACAGACTGTAAATATTTCATTTATTAGTAAATTAAAATAACGTTCTATATACACAATAATTAATAACATAATCGCATTATTTACATTTGGAATACAAAGTTTACATTGTAAAATTAATCATTCAAAATATGTCATTTTTATATAAATATGATTAAATCAACTTTATTGATTAAAGAAAAAAACTATTTATTATAATGAAAAACATGTGCATTACAAATATGTCGATAAATATTATATTTGCATTAAATATCAGATTATGGTTTTAACTATATGTTTAGTCATAGATAATTTCATACGTTAAAAATTTAACCTAAAATTTGGAAGAAGCCTTATTGCAGAAAATGTCGTCATTAAATAATATAGAAAACTAACTTTTTGTTCGCGAGCATCAACCGGAACGAAATGTAAGCCTGCCATCCATTGTGCCCATTTGTATGGAATACCTAAACTAAGGGATGAAAATGTGCCAAGTTTCTGTCTTGCTAGTTGATAAGTATTTGCAGGATTTGGACTGTCAAATCCTGTGTCACCAGGATATAATTCACGTAGCACAGATTCCGATGCAAGCATGTCTCTAATAAATAAATCCAAATGATAAACAAATTAAGTTATTAGTAAATGTAAATATTAACAGTATTTAAAATGTTCTTAAGATGTTAATAAACTTAAGATTATATTCGTTAGGAAGGTCACTTACCCTACGCTAATACCACCCAAATTTACAGTTAAAAGATCCGATACTACTGTTATCACTTTCAATACAGTAAAATAATAAAACTGCAATTTTAATTTCGTATCATCTAAAAAATCAATAAATTAATGCTCGTTTGAATGCTGTTAAGTATAATAAATAAATAGGCTTAAGTAAATTCTGACTTTTAAATGAAACAATTATTTTCACGCTAAGAGGATGTTTTTGCAGCAGTCGAAGTTTTTTTTCCTCTTGTCTAGCTTCTTTTGATATTCTATGATGCCTTTTTTTATGTACAGGAGTTTCTTCAGGAATATTTTCCGATTGGCCTTCGTTATCCGAATCAGATTCTTGTCCACCATCTTGATTAAAAGTACGTTTTGCTTCTTCCTCGTCACCCTCTACCGAAACGACTAATGTAGTATCTAGAAGTAATATAGGTTTTAAAAAAACATATCAATATTATACCAATATTACGGTAAATCTTTTAACGTCTACATTTACCACAAGCATCTCTAAATGCAGATGCTTTTGCATACAAAATATATAATGGCGGTGACAATAACGCAGCTTTTTCATGCTCTAATTTTATTTTATCCAATGGTAGTCCAAGACTTTCTTGTAACGGTTTACTTGCCTGCAAAATTGACATGAAATCATAAAAAAATTTTCATCGAAATACATAATTGGTAATTTTGTATGTACAAAAGAAAAATCATCTTAATAAAATGTAATTTTGCAAATGTCTAACGTAGAAACAATGTTTACGTATGATTATTATTACCTCTAAAATACCACGTAATTGAGGAGCTAAATTATCTAAACGTGACTGTTTAGACTCGATACTAGCAGCTACAGATTTCTTATTTTCACTCAGGTTATCACATAATAATGCTAATTGCTTCCTTTGCGTAAGCTCCCACTCTAGTCTAGCTAATCGTTTTTGGTGCGGATCATTTTGCGTTGTTTCCTAAATTAAATTTTAATCATTTATATATAGTAATTAACTGAAAATTGTATTATAAAGTAATTTAACAAATTGAAATGTAAACTTACCAATCTAGAAATACTTTCTGGAGCTTCTTTGTAGAACTCTTCTTCTGAAACCAGCAATATGTTTTCGTCTTTGGATCTAAAATAAATATATCAACAAGCATTGCACAGAATGAAATTTTCATTGTTTTACAGTTATAACCAATTTATTATCTTACTTAAATTGTAAACATTTCAGTACTTCTTTTTTTAAATGAATTACTTCGTATAATAAATTTTGCAATTGCAAATGTCGATTGTCAACGTTAGTTTTAGCAGTTGTTAAAGAATCACGAGAGAATTTAGTTCTAAATTTTTCCATTCTATTCAGTTTCTTTAATTCCATAAATGCTAAGGCTGTATCTACCTGTAACTCTCTAATATCTTCTTTTGTCTAAAAAGAATAAAGTTCTCAAATAATTGTTAAATACATTGATTAAATGTTATAATACTTACGCTAGCGTCGTTATTAGACTTAAGCTTGGCTATTTCACTCATATTATTACGTATTTGATTACAAGTGTCAAAGAAGCTTTCAGCATCGTTCTCAGACGATCGCTCCAAAGCTTCTTCTTCCTCAAACATGATTATTGTCTACAAAAAGAAAATTTAAATAAATTTGCACATTACTTATTGATACTTCAAATAAAAATAAATGTCAATAAGTTATACTTTTTATTGCATTGAGTTAATCTTAAGTTATCCGATATTAAGATATTATTATACAAAATAACAAATATTTCACAAATCCGAGTTTTTAATTTTACATCATTTAATTACACGAAGGTTTCGATGGTTCACAAAACAAAAACAAAAACAAAAACAAAAAAGAAACAAAAAAAACCATTTTTTATTAAAAAGAATTCATCGTACACGTAGGAATTATTTATTATACGCGTATTATTTAAACTCGACAACACAAGAAATCCAATTTTATACGTATGGAATAAGAATTGAAACCAACCTTATACATATCCATATCTAATGCCGTTTCTTTGTCAATCTCCGAAGAAGAATTGGTTTTTAATGTTGTATCTTGAGTATCCTTTTCTTTACCCATTTACATTAATTATAGAACTTATGCATAAATTTATAAAAACTTTGATCAGGAAGTAAAGTAAGGTTATGGTACGTACTTTTATTTTTATTATTTAGAATATCAAAAAATTAAGTAAAAACATTATCGGCTTTAATAAATAATAATACTACAATTACAGACGCAATTTATTAATATTTTTATGTAAATTGTATCAATGCCCTAAGTATAAATTCTGTAATTATGAGAAATAACGTTAAAAGTATCTGTACACTAGAGCATTAACGCAATGTACACTGCTGACAAAAGTAAATGAAAATAATTTATAAATTGTTCTAAGTAAATGAAATATAAATGCTTTAAAAAATGCTTGAATCCGATTCAATAAAATAAAAAAAAAAACAATCTGACCCCGACGTGATTTGAACACGCAACCTTCTGATCTGGAGTCAGACGCGCTACCGTTGCGCCACGGAGTCTCATTATGTCGTATGTCGTAGAATATAATTTAACTCACGATCGCAACACATACCAATCGTATTTATTTTAATTCATTTGTACGCAACGGCTTTTAGAGGATTTGTAACCGAAACTTTTCATTAGAACAATAAATCTCTTTATTTATACCATAAAAATGGATATTGTAAGTCGATATATTGTACATTGTTGGTATTTTTTTTATTGGAGGCTACGTTATATGCGTTATAAATCATATTATCATAAAATAATATAGCTCTATTGGCATATAATATATCAAAACATGAAAATAGCAAATTAATTATTAAATTCAAGTAAAATTGACAACCGCTTCTGTTGGCACATTTTTTCCCCATAATACAATCGCGCGCGCGCGCGCATACACACACACACACACACACACACACACACACTATCGACACAACATTATATTAACGAGCTTGTCAATTTGTTTTTGTATCGATAATACATTGATATCGAGGCTTGAATTTAAAATTAAACAGCAATACCAATTCCAAATGGTCAAAAATATAATCAACCGAGATGTCCAACGATAATACTTCGATATGATGATAATTAATAGATATTATTTATTTCAAAAATATCACGGGAAAGCGCATCCTAATATCGCAATACACCACAGCAAATTGTTATTATCGATTAATGTAAGACCTTCGATGCTATGAGAATATTACTCAGAAATGTTTTCAATCGTAATTCTAAGGGCAAGATGACATTATCATTCCATACACACATTAAATCCGGAGATAAATATGTTTGAAGGGAATCTTTGAGTTTTATATATCGCGAATGGAATTTTGATAGACATTAGCGGAAACTCAATGGATGTTTGTTTTTTTTGAAAACCGAGGTTTCTAAAGAAAACAATTGGACAATGTCAATTAATCAATTTTGTACACATTCATCCTTAAATAAAATGACAATCAAGATTTTTAGGACCATTAATTTTCTCATTAATTAGTAAGAAAAAAAAAAAAAATTGACATTTACAAAGAACATGAATTTAATTATTACATAATGCTACAAAACCATTAGCAACATTTTATTAATCACTCTTGTTTCATCTTTATTCATTGCTTTAAATCTTTTAAACTCAGAAAATTTAGATTTATATAGTATTTAAATAAGAATATTTATTAAAATGTAACAAATGTCACTGTGATATAGGCATAATAAATAATTTAATAAGATCGAATGCCGCACGAATGTGCTTTAGCTTTATTTTACGATTTTACGATTAATTAAAAAGTGATTAATTAAATTAATTGACAATTTATTTAGATAATAAAGCGAATCTCAACAGATAACATTATTTGATCGGTAGAGCATAGAGAAATAAATTTTAAGTGGAGATACTCGTATTTCTTGAGACAACCAATTATGAAAATAATAAGTAGTACTCTAATATTGTTCATCGCTTTATCAAAATTTGCGTTATTATAAATATCTTTACTTTAAACATGGAATAGCTGATCAATCTGGATTTATAATATTTATAATGAAAGTAATTTATATGATGCGAAGAATAAAAGTAGCTTTAGTTTATGAAAACAACAAACAAAACAGAAAAATTAAATACAAATTTTTAAGTAATTTTAAAGAATTATACAAAGATAGTATTTATATATTTTTTTTATTTTTATTTTTTTTATAGGTTTGTAGAAGTTATTCAAGGCTTAACTATAGTTTTATATTCATATTTTTACAAATACCTCTGAGTATATATATATATATCACAATTAAAAATCTGATATTTTAAATTTTCTATATTTCAAATATTGCAGATAATTTCATTACATAACAAATGAATTATAAAGAAATATTTTTTTATTTGATTGAAATTGTAAAATTAAATCTTCGTAAATTCAAATGATTCGAGCATTGATCGTTGTAAAAGTTTAAATTTAAATTTACAACTGTTTATAAATTATGTCCATTCGTATTTAAAGTATTTATTTTAATGGAATACTTCACTTTTATGTGGACGTTGAAAATATATTTCTTTCACAATAATTGTCAGCCAATCAAAGTGTATACACATATTCACGCAAATATGAATTACTGGTTATAAAGTAGAACAACTATTGAAATGATTATAAATATATTTTTAACGTAAATATTATTAGAAGCTGAGTATCAACGTAAAAGATTTTGTTTGTAAAAAATTCAAGAAGTTTGTACAATACTACAAAATCTTTATAAGTTGGAGATATTTTAAATAACATCATAATGAATGTTAAATTCAAACTTTTTATAAGATTGTTAAGCAGTTTTGCTCATTAATTAGTAAGACTTATTTTTTTTTTTTTTTTTTTTTTTTTTTTTTTTACAAATAAAAACATAATTGTTCAGTATAATTATTAAAAATTAATTATAATATCATATCAATTGTTTTTAATTATATTTTTAATCAAACTTCTTATGCCTTCTTTATCTCTTCAATAAAACTTCCATACAGTTATATAATTCGTATACTTATATTAACTTTTAGTATAAAATTAAAATTGTATGAAATATTCGCTTCGGTGTACTCGTATTATTCATTCGCATTATGATGATGGATGCTTTAATCAATATTTACTAATTTTCTGTTTTATACAAAAATACATAGTTAATTCAATTTGAAGTCTGTGGATTTTAATCAAAGACAGTATTTTCATTACTTAAAAAATAATTATCGTGTAATAATTAATTATATGATTACATAAATTTTAATAAACTCCAATAATGTTTATAATAATTTTGAATCATAATTTAATGTTTAAAAATTAATTACAACTAAATACCTGCCAAATCATTACATGCATTACTTATATAAATAAATTATTTATAATTAAATACAATAAATTTTAATAAAATAATTTATATAAAATAAATGGTTATCGCATAAAAGTTGTACCTTTTGATATTACATCATTGTTTTTGTATAGTTGTCAATTATTTTTAATTTATTTCTCATTTAAAATAATGTTATACGTTACCTTATAATTACATATTATTTATTTACAGTTATATACAAAAATTATGCGAAAGCATTTTTATATGTTCTTGTTGCTGATTTCTTAATTCATTAGAATTCATACACATAACTATAGGAAATAGAATGGCAATATGGAAATTAAAATATGTTCTCTATCTCTAGGAATAAGCAGTTCAAGAGAATGTTCTCTTACCTTTTTCTCTTGTCAATTTGAACGTATAGTTGAACGAAACTATGCCGTTACTTTTCCATGTAACAATTTGCGAATGGCTTATCATTTAACTAAGCAAACGATAATTTTTCTACTTAAAAGTTGAATTTTTACTACGCACATTCACACGAAGTCTAAAGATCAATGTTAAACGTTACGTTTCTATCTACAAATTAATTGAGTATCAGTGAAATTTGCATTTAGGATCGATTATTATGCGAGATCTTTCTCTTTTAATATTTATTTGTATGGTCGCAGTGAGATTTTTTACTTATATACTTATAAATCATTGTAAATGTAACACTTCCAAAACGTTTATTATTTCTTTTTTTACAAAGTTTATGTACATTAAAAACGTCTTATAAAACAGTAGTCACAAAGAAATAGAATTATAGTCTCATTAGTGTAGATTTATTAATATATTTAATAGATAATTATACAAATTTATAATAAAATAACAAAATTAATTGTTTATATTGCTAAAATAATTTTTCTTTGCGTCTTGTAAGCGCAGTTTTCCTTAACAATCATTTTAATATATTTTTATGATATTTTTATGCTATATTTTTATCTCTTGTAATTTATCGAAATTGTCCTATTAATCTTAATTTTTATTTTTTAATCTTACATGTAACATAAATAAGATCATATAATGTTTATGAAGTATTTTCATTTATGCGTTTCATGAGTCTTTTTTCTCACGTTTTAGCATTTTCTACGTTGATCTTTTCAAATCACTTTGTAAAATATGTTTTTTTTTTCCACTTGTCATTGGAATTAGCTCTGAAGATGAAAAGTAACGAATACGATCAACAACATTGAGACAGAAGAGGAGAAATTCACAGGCAATAAAGTTATTAGTATGAGACTAAACGATGTTATTGTCGAGTAGCTATTACGAGAGAGAATTTCTAATTTTTTTTTTTTTAAGTATTTTTAGGACAATCGATTGATTTGCTCTACTACCGAAACTGGTAAAATATCCCCTTTTTACAAGTGATTTTATTTATAAAAAATAACATTTATAATAATGAACTTAAACACAATTTAATGCTATTCTTAGGAATGCATGATTAAGTTTAAACAAAAGATACGACGAGAATTAGTAGATTTTCTGAAAGTCATATTATTATTTGTTCATCCATTCGGTAAATTATTCAGTAAATCTCGTTTTTCATACAGTTGGTCCATTTATCGGGATTAATTATCGTTCTGGGTAATATCATTTGCATCATTCTCGAATATCTTCACGTATTTATCGATTACCTATCAAATTGTTTATTTGTCGTGCATCGATAAATTGACGAACAAATCATAACAAGACGTTGCCGTATACTAAATCGCGAAACAAGTTGCAATAGTTTATAACTATAAAAAATAGTTTATAAAAATATACAGAGAGTTGAATGAAATTCTACCAAATTCTATTGAAAATTCTACCAAGAAATTTGATTCAAACTAAAATCATACACCTATTGCTTCAATTTATTGCAAAAAAATTTTAAATGAGCTTTGCATTTTAAATTTACCGATATAGTAAGACTAACGTGCTTATGAACAATTACGGTTAATTGTTTTAAATGAAAAGATAAATTTTGACAAAGTAACGTAAGTAAATAATAAGAATACATTTCTCGTCTCTTCTCTTTCTCTTCACCCACCATACATTTATTGCCTCTATATAAATATTATGTAAGTAAATTGTAATTTTTAAATATTTCTATGACATTGACTACATAGATATTCGTATTCACTAGTCTTTTCTCAATAAACACTTAAGAGAATAAAATCCATGCATTACAACAAAAAAAAAAGTTTAAATCCCTAGAATTATTTTATAATTTACATTACAGAATTAATTATTCATGGAATGTTATAAAGAAGCGAATATAATGTTCATTTAATTTTTCTTTTTTTTTCCGTTTCAAATGGATATAAATTTATTTTAAATCAATTTCCACGATCTAAATATAAATATTAGTTTTATTCTTTTAACTCTTTATTTTGCTTTGAATCATACGCTTTTAAATAAAATGTTAGACATATGAAAATTATGTTATTTCTGAAGAATGCACTTTTTTTTTTTAATTATAGGTAATTTTTTTAAATTTATCGAATAGTTTACCGGGATTGTTATTATGAAACTAAATTTGATTAAATTATTAAATTAGTAAACGAGCCATAATTGTTATTTACATATAATCGCTATTCGTAATAATTGCTGAAAAATCGTTAAAAAAATTATCTTAAATTTACGGCTCGTAATGTTTTCCACAAAATATTGAATTTTTTGAAACTACTTGATGACGTATTTACAACACTTACTTACAAATACATTCTTATCTTTATGTTCGTTTAAATTACGAGTAGATCTTCCCTTAACTTGTTTTTCAACTATTAATATTGCTTATTGGGAAATAAAAAAAATGTACATTATACGATTGGGTTAGTTGTATGAAAGTGCATTTTAACTGTTCTCATTGGATTGAAAAGATTAATATTTATATTACGTTTATAAATGAAATATAATTAAGAATAAAAGATAAAAGACACCGGCTGAACGTTTTGCACAGTATAACAATTGCACCTGACCACTGGATTAGAATTGCGCTCGAGTTATTAAAATAATGTTTCGGAAAGAGACAAATAGACGAGACAAGCGAATATCTTGAGTGATCTAGAGTGAATATCAAGGAAGGGGGAGACGGTGAGGGGGGTTGGCGGCGAGTGGGGAGGGGGGGGGGAGAAAGAGCTAACAAAAAACAAAGACAGGAAGGGAAGGGGAAGTCTCTATAAATGTTAAACGACGTATTGTCGTTAGCGTATAAGTACTAGTGACTGTGGTGGAAAAATCATGGTCGAAGGAGTGAGTAGGGCCAGCAATGGCGGCTTGCACAAGGATAATAAGACGCCGCTATCAATGACCTTAGGTACATACGTGCGTAGGCGTGCAATAAGATGTTCGAGGCGCTGATATGGCTGAATGCAGCGATTAGAGAGATCGGATTAGTTATTTCGTGCAGTTCTACATTCGAGAATCAATGATTCGTATTGAGTGAAACGTGTATAGATGTGTTTTAGGTGGTATATTGCGATTAAACAGTAAGGTGTTTACGTGATCGATTTTTTATTTATATATATTTTACTTATATATTTTTTACTTATATTTTATATCACGAATATAAGAATTAATTTGCTGTAGAATAAGAAATCTGATAATGATCAATAACTTTTCTGTGTATATATATATATATATATATATATATATACATACTTACATACTTTGCCTCAAGTGACTGGTATCTACAACTTAAAATTTATCATATAGATTCTTCTATTCTACGCAGTAATTGAAATTAAGAATAAAACAAAAAACAATGGAAAACACTCTGCTATTTTATTTTTACACGTATTTCTTTATTAAACTAAATATTCAATGATGCAATAAAATGATAAATTAAATAATTTATATAATCTAATGAACGAGTTGAAATATAAAAATAATATTCATGTAGGAGTCGACATATTTTAATTCAACTGAAATTTATATAATCCAAATAATGTCAAATAATAGCGCCCAATATAATTTAAATATAATATTCTATTATTGATTAGAAGTTATAGATAATTATAAACAATATTTTGATTCGATATTTTGATTTAATTATATTTAAAAAAAATAAATGATGAAATTTTAAATCATTATTTATTTTTTTTTTACAACATTTATAAAGATTTTTTGCAAATATAGAACAAATTGATTGTGTCGAATGAATGTAACGAACGTCAATTCTTTGTTATCTCGCTTTATTCTTCATTTATTAAAAAAAGAGTTACAATGAAATATTCATCAAACAAAAAATAACATTATTATCTCACAATTATAACTAATTATTATAACTAATTATCATTATAATTAATAGAAAACTGAGATTACTTCCTTATTCATAACTATTATTCAAATAATTTATTTTATAGATTGAAAGTTATGGGCAGTTTAACGTGATCACTGGAAATTTACATATTATTAGTAAAAAAATGTAATATTAATTAATAAATTTAAATCATTTCCGACATTATAATAGATTAAAAATTACTAATAATTCTACGGTTTACTATAGATATTTTTAATCCTGTTATGTTTATATCGTTGCTTTCTGTTTCTCTAATAAAAGTTGTGCATTTTCAAAATTTATCTCTTCATCTCAATAATTGAAATAACTCCATAATATTTTGTATTCACATAATTATTATATATAAAGAACTTTTTAATTTGCAAATAAATAAGTCTTATAGTATTTATATGTTGGTAGGCTTTTCAGTAGTATCACCGAATCAATATTAAATAATAAATTTTTTGTTCTTTATTGTTATTTTTGAAAATTTAAAAAGCTATTGCGTATAAGGATGACATATGTATAAATTATGTATAAATAGATTGTTATGCATGACTTATGTATAAATAGAATTTTTTTTTTTTTTTTTTTTACGATAGTTTGTAATATAATATGCATTGATTAGATATGACTAAACACCCAGAAATATTCGTTTTGCAATTATTATTGCTATTTTATCTCCGAATATATTTTAATTTTTAAAATATATCTAAGCATAATTCTCAAAATATAATTAGTGTTTTTTAAATAATCTAATGTTATTAGACGTGATTTTTGTACTGGATTTTTGTATATATATATATATATATATATATATGTATATATATTGTAAAAATTATTCTTTTTGTAGTAATGGTAGACAATATCTAGATAAATTCTATTGGATTAAAAACATTACTCATTCTTTATATAAATTATAACAATTCTCTGTATTAAAGTAAGTAATAGCCTAGTTTAAAAACATGATTTGCAAACCATTGTCTAAAAATTTAGAACACGTAACAATAACAAAAGCAAAAATGTAAATTTACAATGATTTAATAGTTTAGATATTATTTTTATACGATTAAGATCCACATATTATAATAAATATATTTTTATTAAATAAAATGGATACATTTAATGTTCGTTTTTTTTTAATTTTTCTCGTTCTCGTTTCACTTGGATGATAGTTTTAATTGTGAAAATTTATTCAAAATGTAAACATTGTATAAATAATGTATTTATACATCTTTCGTTAAACTTGTTCGTACACGATGATCTCTTCATTGTATTGTCGATTGTTTTAATTAAAGGTGATTTTAGAAATTTGATGGAATCGGTAACTTAGTCAGCAAGTTTATAGCAAATAAAAATGGAATAAAAATGGAATAAAAATAGAATAATAGAAATTCCTTGTCTTATAATAGTTTCATATACATAAGTAATTATTATTTTTTCTTTTATCATAGGATGCTATCAGGTAATAATGTGTTAAATGCTCTATACCATTTAACTTCATTTTTTGAGACCTTACCAGTCGATTTAATAAATTGAGTAATATCGTTCAAAATTGCCTTTAGTATTTCTGGCGAAGTACAGAAAATAGATATTTTTATATATTTTAGACGATATTTATAATGTTTGCAGAATCGTATAGTCTTAAGTGTATAAAATAAATGGTCAAGGAAAATATATCCGCATAAAAATGTAAATTTATGATTATATAAAACTAGTTGAATGTGTTGAAAAAGATATGAAAAGTTGTAGTAACTATATTTTTCGTATTTGGATGATTTTCAAATTATGTCCCTAGAATGATAATTCCTAGTAATATCGAGATTTTTCCTGATTACAGGTGTAATCGGCATAAGACATCTGCAAGTCTTCCTTATGTGCCTGGGTATGATGATAGCATATGGACTTCGAGTGATGTTATCGGTGGCAATTGTTGCTATGACTAAACCTGAAACTGCAAATAAAGATTTTAAGGTGTTTTTAAACTTAATTCGATAATAATAATTCTATAACGAAACAAGTAAGAAATAATTTAAATATACATTTTTATGATTTTAAATAAAATTATATCATTTATTGTAATATTTGTTTAAATATGATTTAGAATCAGTTTATGATCTTGTATTAATTATAAATGTAGAAAGGATTTCTATAGTTATGATTTATAAAATATTATACTCTCGATTATTATAAAAAAGTATTATTAAACGATATTCTTTTTATTGCTGTACATATAACGTGAATTTAACATTTATTATTTTTCATTTTTCTTTAAGTGGTTATTATAATATTAACGATCTACTATAAAAGTATGAATATGTACTCTGTCTTTACATAAATTTATTCTAAAATTTTTGGCTTATTTATTTAACAAATATTTTTCAACATATTACTAATGAAAAAATTTGGTCTAAATAAATTATAAACAATTTTATTTAATTTGAATCTTCAAATTTTTATTATAATTTAATTACAATATTCAACAATATAGTTATGCTGTGATTACTTACTTTATAGATTTAATCAATTATTTTAAAAAACATTAACTTTGTATTTTTAATTATTTATTTTTTTTGTTTCAAGAAATATTTTTAAAATCATTATAGCATCATATATTTAAATTAAATGTAATGAAAATATAATAAACAACTTAATTTAATTGAATTTTATGTAAATATTATTTGAAATTAGTTTTGTACAATTTGACCATCAGTTATAATTATTTATTTATAAAGAAATTTAAAAATCATTGTCATATCTTACTTATGTACAAATCATTTTTATTTAGATTTATTTATTTATTAATGTAGAGACGAATTACAATTTTCATCAAAAATTCAAAACATTAAATTACAAATTGCTCAGAGTCTTTGCGAACGTTAAAATTGAAAACTATTAAACTGTTGTTTTTACTACTTTTCGATTATTATTATAATAGAAAATTCTCAAGCATAATATCAAGGTGCCGTAGTGTAGGTCTATAAAAAAAAAAAAAAAAAAAAAAAAAATATATTGAACCAATAGCCTTCTGTATTATTGTTTGCATTTTAATCATGTAAACATTAACTTTTGAAAGCAAAGCATAAAAGTATTTATTGTATGCAATGTTATAAATTACCAAACATTTTCTATTTTCCTCTTTTAATTTTCGCAATCCTATCGATTACGCTAAATATGATAAATAAGTTGACACTATAATTGATGGAAAGAAAATTTCACCAACGCTATTTATTTCACGAGATTTGAAAAATAATTTGAATCTAAAGTAGTTAGAGTGAAGTTACAAATGCATTAATTATAGATTAAAATTTCGTAATAATCGATAATTAGTGTAAATTATTTTCGTAGCACTAAGCAGTCACGGTTCTTTCATTTTTAATGATTAATTGCAAATCTCGAAATTGCTTACTTTCAATTAAATTTATTATTGCGAGATGTGGCAAAAATAAAAGAATACTTTATCATACAACTAGTGATTTACTACTTCATTATGTTTTGCAATAGGTTTTGTAATATTTTAATATGTACATTATAACTTTAATAATTGAAATTAAAAATATTTATATGCTAATGCTTTCAAGGTGTCATCTTTCATTTTAAAGGTCAACATATATTTTTACGCTTCGATTCAATAAAGACACTATATAATAACATAGATCCTTACACAATATATTAAAGGACAAACATTGAGTATAATACAATAGATATAATACAATTTGTTCAAATACAATGACATGTAAATACAAATCATACAGTTAATTTTAAATTTGCTTAAATATATTGAAATTTTTTGCCTTTTAATGTTTATACATAGATGTTTTTCTATAAGACAAAAATATCTCTCCATTCTTAAGTTTCCTCTTCGCCCGACCACCCCTTAAGAAGTCAAATATTTGACAAATTTTTTTCGGCTTATTACCATACCATACTCATACCAATAGTTTAGTATAGAGAGAGGCCGATAGTAAGAAAGAAAACGGGGAGTGAAAATACAAAAAGCCATGTAGAAAAAGGTGAAAATTTGCGCAGGCCTACAAGTGGAATCCTTCCGAGCAGTCACTCGTCCTCAGCTCCTTCTTCTGGGGCTACATAGTGACGCAGGTGCCGAGCGGCTATCTCGCGACCATCTGGAGTGCTCAGAAGCTCCTTTCCGCGGGTCTCCTGGTCTGCGGGTTCCTAAGCATCGCTGTACCGCTGCTCGTGGACGTCGGCGGCTGGCAGATTGTCTGCGCCTGTAGAGTCGGGATGGGTCTGAGTCAGGGTTGCGTCTTACCCGGGATTCAGACGCTGCTCGCGAGGTGGGTTCCGCCCTCGGAAAGAGCACGATTAGGTGAGACCGCGTGCTAAACGTTTCATAATCTCTGCTTTCTATCGTCCTTACCTGTCCATCAAATCTCACGGTATCCGGCCGAATTCCGCGTTCGATCTGATGGAAGTAAACGGGTGGAAAGAAAGATGTTCGACATAATATGAAGTCGGTAGGATTTTATATTGCAAAGGCGTGACGATGTTTTTTTTTTTTTTTTTTTTTTAATAATTTTCATATAATGGGGATAGTAGATTGTCTACTTTGATCATTACAAATGCGCTGTCATAGTTCACTTTAAATAAGAGATTATTTTTATTCGCCTATAATGCAAGGCTTATTATATTTCTTAGGGGGTTGAATTTTCAAAAATGTTTTTAATTAACTGAATTAAGAAAGAAAATCGAACTTGAACTCTTGAGAAAATAACTCGTGTTTACAGATTATTCGAATGTCAATCGTCAATCAATAGATGTTCCTTTTTTTTGTTTTTTTTGTTTTTTGTTTTTTGTTTTTGCCGCGCATCTATCATTTAGTTAAAGACTGAACAATATATTTGTTTATAAATAACCATTTAAAAATGGACTATCACTTACTTAAATTGCAGAAATATTTACAAAATCAGAATAATATATCCGGATTTATTAAATCGTACAATTGAATTGTATAATACTTAGTTTTACATTGTGAATTAATAATACTTTCACAAGAAATATTCATTTTTGTTTGACTGCATATATTGGATTTTTTATTTATTATTTTTGTATTATTACAGTATTAGAAAAAAAAAGTAAAGAAAATGAAAAGTTAATTAATAAATAATAATTTAAAACTATCGTCTCTCAACTTAATTATAAAGATGTCGAAATACGTGAGTGTTTAAAATATTATTCCTAAGGCCGAAGTGTATCGCGAAGAATGGCCAACCTTAAATTTTGCTAAATATCAATTAAAATGATCAAATGACGTTAAAAGAATGTTTAACAATATTGTCAATTTATAACGTTCTTAAAAGTTAAAGTAAACGTACGTAATACTTAACGAAGCTAATATTTTTCCGTCTAAGTATTCGAATGGTCTAATGCTCGTCTAATGCTTTATTACATATTAGCGTTTTATGAATTGTCCTCTATAAATAGTATTTTGAGCTTAGACGCTCAGCGATAAACGTCAAAGAAATTTGATTTCTTGCTTTGATGGTAGAGAAATTTATAGCTTGTCATGACATCGACGAAGAAATGTTACAAGTTGCAACATGAAAGCGTAAAAGTAAAATAATACAGTGCTCGTAATGATAAATATTAAAATGTCGCGTTGTGCCGGAATACATTAGGCTCACTATTTCGCAGGAACGTTCGCATATGCGGGTGGCCAATTGGGCACGGTGCTGACCATGCCAATTTCCGGCCAATTGGCAGCCTCGAGTCTTGGCTGGCCAAGTATCTTCTATTTCTTTGGATTACTGGGGATCGGCTGGGCTGCTCTTTTCTATAGCCTCGGCTGCGACGAACCCGCCGTTCATTCGAGGATAAGCGATGCCGAGAAATACTATATCGACAAAAGCCTCGGCAACTTGGCTGGTGATCATCGAAAGCCTGTACGTGTCATACATTTGAATTCAATCTTTAATAAAAACAGTGGGGCAATCTCGTGGTTCTCGGATTAATCTATTAGCAACTTTTGTACTTTATTATGTTTCTTATTGGCGAATGCTATTAGCCTCATTCGTTCGAAATTTTAGGAATAGTACATGCAAATTGATAAATGTAATTAATTATGCCAATGCACCATTATGCCGATGGTTATACAATTACGTATCTAATTAGACTTCAAGCCAAACAACTCGTACAATTCATTATTAAAGAGATATTAAACGAAAAAGTTGTCAATGAAAACATTTGTATAAACTGATGGTACTGAATTGATGTATTGCCCTATTGAACAAATACTTTAAAATAAAATTCATACATATTTTACACATACACACACACACACACACACACGCGCGCAAGCACGCACGCACGCACATACACATGCATGCACACTTATACGCACGATAGTAATATTTTTATTTAAAGTTACGTGAATTATGAGAATATTGTCTTTTACAATTAATATCTTTTAATATCGTGTAAGGATAAAATTTATATATATCACTATTTACGCATAAAGTAAAAGTATTTTAAGTTTCATATAGTTCTATTGGGTAGAAATTAAATGTTATTAATTTTCAATTTATTATTTATTTTATAATTTATTATTTTCAAATTAATGCTTAGTAATATTAACAATAATGCGCTCCATCATATTTTCCAACGTCAATTTTAAGTATAGTAATTTGTAATATTTAATAAATAGTAATTACAATAGTATAAAAAATATTTTACATTTTTAGCATTATGGTTCCCTTTTATTTATATTATGTTTATTTTTTGTAGAGATAAATAGTTCAAGCTACCATTTGGAACGTGCGTTGACAAAATTCTATGTACATGGTCAACTAATTATTAATTATGAATATATTTTTTTAATATCATTCAAGTTTCGTTATATATATATATATATTGGATGTTATTTCTTTTAATATAATTGCCAAATAATTTAATAGAATACTAAGTATAAAGAAAATAATTGAAAATAACAGCTAGAGAAATGTTTAAGTCTCCAGGATTATACTGTATTTTATTTAAAGTAAAATACTTCATTTTTTCTTTATTCTCTTATTATAAAAATAGCATAGCTATATTTGTCGCATTACTTCCCAATATATAACGTGTTTATAATAGCTGCCAATATTTCATATATTCGAAATGTGTTATAACTTTCTTGTCTTAATCGATGCAAATTAATGGAAAAACATAGTACATAAATAAAAAAAACAGTGATTTTAATTATTTTATTTTCTTTATCCTTCAATCTTACCATAAATGTATTTTATATAAGAGTTCTTATTGATTTGAGGCATATTGTATTTAAAAGAAGAAATGCTTAATTTTCAATGTCAATAATTACTTTTTATTAAAAATGTAATCATCATTGTGAGGTCGTCTAGAAAAATAAGTAAGATAATTAAATTAAACTAATTTCAGAATTAAAATAAAATAATTCAATGCACAAATTTTGAATAATTACGTATTGAAAATTATATTTTACAATTTAATTAAAGCTATTATTGTTGAATTATATCTAATACACTTTGACATAAAGTAAAGAAATATTTTTAAAAGTCAAAATTAAATATTGCACACTGATATCAATGATAAAAAAGTGAAATATAATGAATATAAGTATGTAATTATGGAATTTTCAGAGTCTGAAGAATAATTTTTGAGCTCTTCCATGAGGTATTTGCCCTTCTAATCTCAGTCTTCGAACAGCTTCTCTTAAGTGTTTTGGTTGTAGGGGTCCAGTCTCGTCATGCGTTTCCATAACATCTAAAGCTTCCTCAACAATTTCACCAATAAATACTTTAGCTATTCCAGACATAGCAATGACTACGTTTTGCGACACGGAGCATCCGGTAATAGTTTGCATAATTCGTTTTATAGCTGCTTTAGGAAACGCAGCTCTTCTATACATTTCGTATCTATCTAATTGATCCTCTGTGAAATTTGATACTAATACTTGCATTTTTTCACGCTCTTCTTCTTCAAGTTCCTTTCTATTCTTATCCTTGCTCTCACGTCGTTCCTTTACATTATTTACTGACCGGTTTGGTAACATGATTTCATTATCAAATAACTCTTCTTTGGTCCTTTCATATTTAAAATCATTTTTTTGGTTATTATTTTTGTATTCCAAGCTATGTTCCGATTCTCTGGATGCAGGTAATGATAAAGATCCTTGATTACTGGAATCCATTTTTCTAAAGTTCTCCCTAACGACAATAAATATGTTTATTATATTAATTGTAAGTACATCAATGTTTGTAAATAATAAAAATTATATTGTGTCTTTATAAATACATTTTCCATCTATAGTTTTAAAAAATTACACCTCAAATACACAATACATTTACAAGTTATATTGCTACTCACAGTAGAGATTTTTTGCCTTATATTTACAGTCAACGGAATCTAATAACCAGATATTAATCTATACTATCGTAAAATTATTATTTAATGAATAAACTCTTCATTTTGCTTAAACAGGGAGACTATAAAATTTAGTCTCTCGTACTTCCAAGTTCTAACCTCTAAATCGGAACACCGACAAACTCACTGATGCACATATCCAATTAGACTACACCGTTATATTCACTCACACAGCAACGGCAAATGTGTGGGACAAACATGTAACCATAGCGTTTGTTCGCTTCCTTTTCAAAACGAATAAGGTAGTGGGAGCAAATGCGACGGCTTTTATTATTGGTTTTCAATGTTTTAATAAATGGAAACAACTTCTTTAGTTTTTGGAAAATAAAGATACACACTATAGCTGAAAATATAGTTATTATATGGTGTTAACGGAGAGATTGCGCAATATTGTATTACATAAGATATCGGTTTATTGTATTAAAAGTTTATTTTTATAGCCGTTATTTATTATATTGATATTTATTTATAAATTTGTTGGAAGTATAAAACACGGTACACGCTTCTTTTATTAGTGTTGTGAAATAAATTTGATTGTCCTTTATAGTACTCGCGCATACTTTATCTTTATTGTTTGTTCGTTAATGTTCAACATTTTTATGTTCAGTTTAATTATACACCATATTAAATGAATTATATATCTCAAGGAACAGAACGTTTTTGTTATCAAAGAAGAGTAGGTTTTTCTTGCCAACTCTTGGTTCCACGGCAGGGGGGGGGAGGGCGGAGACGAAGTAAAATGAAAATACCGTTACTATGCAATTTCAGTATCCGTTGGATTTTGTTGTATTTGTCGTGTAAGTCGGTGTAGTCAAGCTCATGTCATTAAATCATTTTAATGAGATCAGCATTATGGAATCAGAGAGATTAGGTTGCCTTAAATCGTCCTCAACTTCTGCCACGAGGAAATGACCAATATTAAATTACCTTAGAATTTAAGGTCGTTGGAAAATTTAAAATAAAGTTGCTTTTATAATATCAGTCACCGAATAATTAAAATTGTAATTTTTATATTAATATAATGTGGTTTTACGGAGTAGGGTTTTATTATATTGACAAATCAAAATATCATGTAAACAATGTGTACTGTTAGGACTTATTATTATCAATGTAATATTTTTATACTTTATATAATTGTAATTTGAACATAAAAAATATCGTCTTATTTATATAATTTTTCCATTTCTTTTCATATCAAATATAAATTCTGTATATTTTTAAATCCTTGAATCGTTACTTATGATAAACGCATAACTTAATTATAAATTCTCTTTATATATATATATATATATATATATATATAATCGATGACATTGATATAATATAATCGTATAATAATAATAGAATTAATGTAGTTAATTGATTTTATTTTATAAGTTTACCCTCTATACATCATGCAATCGCAAAAATTTGTTAAATGATTAAAATTACATTTTATTTTAACTATCCACTCTTCTTTAATTAAAAAGAAATACTTTTTTTTTTTACAATTCTCCCTTTACGATTATGAATGATAACTAAAGTAATTTGAGTTTAATTGATATTTAATTTATAAAATCCACAGGATACAGTTCTTTTATACAGAATAATATTCTATTTCAAATATCGTAGGGAATGAAACGTGAGCTCATTATTTTCAATAGAGTCGTTATGCAAATTTGCCATTTCCTGAAATTGGCCGATGAAAACCTTTTCGCGTTGAACGATTGATTGATTAAATGAAAATTAATACAAATATGCGTATATTATTAAACTAAAATTTGATTATTAAAATAAAATAATTTTTCAGCTTATTCTATAATATTAATAATGGTAAATTTTCCATTTGCTTACTTGCTCTTCCTGTCATAAATACAATTAGTAGTTTTCATAATACAATTGAAATTTTGTATGTATCATAATAGTGTAAAATGCCGCACATTGATATTCAGAAATTTAATATTAAAATTAAAATCCTAATGGCCCTTTGGATTTAACACGCGCTTGCACGTATTCTATGAACTGAAAATCTAAGCCAAATTCAAATGACACATATAATTATTTTAAAAGCCGAACATGATATAATGAGAATTTATGACAATTAGCAAATATAAATTTAATAAAATTATTATATATATATATATATTTAATTCCCGCTTGTTTTTAAGCATTTTAAATACTAGACTGTAATTGAAAAATTACATTGGTTATTTTATTGGTTTAGCTATAGAATAGTCAATGAGAACAGTTTAGATTGAAAGAAGATGTTGGAATAATTTGAAATTCAAGAAAATTTGCCAATATACACAAGTATAATCTATTTTTATATCAAACGTCTATAAGAATGTAATAGGCTACTGCACTATCATAGTTGTTATTGCGCTTCGCAAAATTTGTCGTGGATGTGTTTATATGCCATGCGGACGATGGATTCTGACAAGAGGGATATTTTTATTGTGACTGTAAATAAGATGGATAAAACAGTAATTATAAACATACAGTAACTAATCAATGACAGATAAGATAGTATTATTTTTCATAAATCTGTTATTGTTTGGGTTTGTATGTGCATTTATTTTATTTCTAGCGTTTATTTTCAATTCAATCATTATTATTTATCATAATAGTAATATATACATATATATATATATATATATATATATATATATACACACACATGCACATATATCGTATTCCATAGAGTATATGCTTATTTGATATTTTTCTAAAAATACTATAAATAGAAATATTTTTGTACGACAATTAAGTGTTCTGGTTTTTATACGAATAATTGTTTGTATTATGAAATTGCAGACTCCGTGGAGGCATATCTTCTCGTCAATACCAATGTGGGCATTAATTATCGTACATTGCGGACAAAATTGGGGATTTTGGATGCTCTTGACAGAAATTCCCACTTATATGAGCGAAATTGTGGAATTTAGTATAAAGGAGGTTAGTTTAAATGACTTTGTAAAATCATTCTTGAGGAATGCAATTACATTCTTCGTTACCTTTACACATAAATACTAAGATTATGCATTGTTTATTTATTTACTTTCCTTGAATACTCGTAAAAACTTGTATAACCGTAATTGTGTAATAAATATTTTACTTTTATATAATGCAATTATATTAATTATCATATTTAATAATAGAAGACAAAGAATGTTATCTTAAAAGAATCATGCATTGGTCATATTATATAATATAACAAACACAATATGTCAATGTATCTGCTATTATTATATATCTTATAAACAAAAATGAGTTTCATCTGCACTCTATTTTTTATCGTAATATTTATTATTTGCGAGGTAATGCAAAATCATTAAATTATAAACAAAATATTGTAATTAATTTTATTTTCAAATATCTTAAATTTAAAATGTTAAATAGAGAATAATTGATTGAAAATTAAAACTAGAACGAATAGAGATTAAATCTTTTAAATTTATGTGAATAATCATTAAATTTATTAATTAGGACTTTTATCATTTTTAATAAATATACCATATTTGTATTTATAAATGTTTATATAAATTTCTCTATTTTTGTTTTGTATACAATTTTATTATTTTTATATTTATAAATTTTATTTCAATCGATAGATTTAAGTGCATAAAGGCGTTAAGGTAGCATATTATACAAACGTTAACAGTTCATATGAATATGTGATTAATTTGATAATTTTTTTTAGATTTTTTGTAAACTGGTATTAGCATAATTAATAATTAATAAAAATATGAAAATAATGAATAAATTAAATTAAATATTATATATATTTTATTACTAATTTCGGGAGTAAATTATTTAAAAAATATAAAAGTATATTATTAATGATTAAAGTTAATTTATTAGAATTTAAAAATTAGTTAGATTTTTTAAAGCATAGCGCGATGAAGTGAAACTTAAATGAAAGAAAAATTGATTTCTCAATTCTGTAATGGATTTATGTAAATTTATATATTTTATATTACAAAAAAGTATATGTATTATTGATTAATAATGATTCGCTTGGTAATATTAAAATATAAGTATCAAGTTAAATTTTATTATACATAAATTTTTTTAAAGTAAATAAATAATTAAATTTAACGCAGTATTTGGAATATCTGAATCACATAGAATTATGTATTTTATCCCAAATATAATACTCAAATCGTAAAAATTGTATTCAATTTTTGATATTAGCATTTCAGAATTTAGAATCGTCATTTGGAGCGATCAGCACAATTGATTTAAATTACTTTAAATTGCAATGGTCGTGGCCCCTTACTAATTGTCCGTAAATATTTTTCCTATAGAATGGCATGATTTCGGCACTGCCTTACCTTGCGATGTGGCTACTTAGTTTTCCAGTAAGTTGGTTATCGGATTACACGCTACATCATGGCGTCTCCCATGGTGTTATACGCAAAGCTTCTAACACCATAGCACATTGGGGCCCAGCTCTTGCTTTAATAGCTCTTTGCTTTGTCAATGTGGAACACAAGAGCGTACCGGTAATTCTCCTGATCGTTGCTGTTGGTCTTAATGCTGGATCACTCTGCGGCTTTCAGATCAATCATATTGATCTGAGTCCAAATTTTGCTGGCACGATGATGTCGATCACGAATTGTATAGCGGCAATAATAGCGATCATTGCACCAATTATTTGTGGATGGATCGTTACGAATCAGGTAACCAGTGACTTTATTTATAATATTATTCTTAATTGTCGAGCCATTGCTTTATACATTTTTATTATTATTTTGCTCGCATCGTATTAAATATTTGGTTACTCTATTTTTATACAACTAGAGAAACTTAAGGCAAATTTTATATGAAATTATTTACTGTAAAATTCAATAAATATTCGTAATAAACATATTAATTTATAAAAGTTATTTTTATATTTAAAATCATTTCTTCAAATATTTTAAGAACGATATTACTAACTTCATTTTCTTTAAATTTTAGTGTAAATAAAATATTATCATTTTATCAAATATAAATATTATATAAATATGATCGTGCTATGTAATTCTTATTTTTGATAAATTATATTTATTAATTAAAAGAAAAGGTAATGAATTATTGCTGCATTAGTCGTGTAAATAATTGTCTATATGAAAATCTTTAGTTTTTATTGTCCATGTCTTTTCATCAAATCTTTTCGTGTTACTTAATTTATTTGAGCTTTTATTTCAAATTTGTATTTTCAACGTTTCAGAAAGATATTAATCAATGGCATATAGTCTTCTACATTTCAGCTTTAATCTACTTTGTCGGTAACCTAATTTTTATAATTTTTGGGAGCGGTGAAGTACAGTGGTGGAACGATCCATCAGCAATGAAAAATGAATATGGCAAATGGTCTTATAAAATTTCGACGGTATCGACATTTCATAATCCAGCATCTGTAATTCCAAGATATTATAAATCGTGTGAAACGTCTTGATTAAAAAAAATAAGTCGCAGATAAATATTGTAAAATTAAAATACTTAGAGTTTAAAATTTCGGTTTAACATATTCAAAGTAGAAAAAAAAATAATTAAATTTAACTGAGATATTATAATAAATTGCAGAATAAAAAATTATCAATACATATTAATATATATATATATATATATATATATATCAATAATTAAATATATATTCGTGAGCATACATTAACGACAATATATAAATTAGTTCAAATTAAACTTTATTCTAAATAATAAATAATATATTAAATTGTTCTCTGTGGTAATTCATATTGTAAAATACTTATTATCGCAACGTAACAAAGTTCGGTTCAATAATTTCTTTTGAATTTTCTAAAATTTTAGTATGAATTTATTAACTTCTTAAAGTAGATAGATTATAACAAGAAAATATATTATTATAGTTGAATATAATTTGTGCTAATAATTTCAATGTTTTTATTTTTTTTTTTTATTAAAACATTGGAATAAAATTTTTTATATCGATGTATACACTTCATATGAGCATATTGTTCATGCTATTTATAAATCTTATGTATTAGTATATTATGTATGTATTTATGTAACATATGCATACTTAATTATAATTTGTAATTATGGTTATTATATGATACTATATGCTTATATATTATTTTTAATAAATATTTTACTTTAATGTTTATTAATATTGCTGTTATTTTCTTTATTATTGGCGTCCTTTTATTTTATTTTTTAATTTAATTATTATTTAATGATATAGATTTGGCCAAATATAATTTATATTAAATTAATAGAATACTTGTTATATATTTTATTTTAAAGCGCATCACCTTAGTAAATGTTCGTAAATATGGATTATATGTGGTTGGCTTATAATTAAAAAATAATATTGTGATTTTTATCCGAATTACTCGGATTCTACGTACTACATAGTCTTATATTTGTTTGAAAAAGAATGTAATTGATTTGGTGGTCCATGCTAGTTCAATATTAATATTATGTTTAATATTGAAAAATTACGAAAAATTACGGAATTACGAAAGAAACCTTTTCTTTTTCTTTAAAATATTTTGTCGAATATGGGTATATATTAGTCAATATTAATTGTTTCCTGTTGAATGTAAATAAATAATTGTTTATAATTATTTATTGATTTATATTAAATATCAATAATCAATTCATCATTTATACATGATGTTTTATTAACAATTGTATCACCACGAAGAATTTCATAAATATTTATTAATGTTTTAATTTTTATTACTTTTACTGACATAATCATTAAAAATATAAGCGTTATTCTTTATAATTATAATTACTATTTTAATTATATTTAATAGTTTATCAATTACCAATAGTTAGCAATATGGATATGTCAAAGTCATTGATAATTAAAGACTTAGGCGCATTTTTATAATTGACGATTCTCCATAAGTTATTAATTACTTGTGTGTATTTTTTTTATCTATAAATAATGCTAATATTACTATATAAAAGCATTTATATAGAATGAGTTGAATTTTTAAATTCGTTAATTAAGTTTATAAAATTAATCAACTCACGAAAATATATAAAACAAGCTAATAATTCAAAAACTTTTGCTATGCCTTACAACAAGATTATTTGAAAATATATTTTTATATAATATATCAGTAAAGAAAAAGTTGAGATATTAGTTACTTTTGCAATTTTCACGATATGTGTAATTATTATCTAATAAAGTAAAAAACTTTACATTTATCTATATAATGTAGATAGATTTATTTTTGTTTTCAAATGAGGTCATCAAGATAAAACAATTATGATGATGCTATGACTGATGTCTGTATCATTCGATGTAACACAATTTATACATTTATAGTTATAATTTAGTTAAGAGTATAAGGTCCGTCATAAAATTTAAATTATTGTTATAATTGTGCTTGGAAAAAGTTTTATAAAAATTGTTTTTCATGGTTTGTATATAATTTATATCGTTATAATTATATTGTTTCAATTATAATTTCATTGTAAAATAAAGTTACAATTCTTATTTATATTTATAATGATATTATGATTTTGTTTTTTAATGTAAATAAAAAGAGAGTGTGAAAATAGCTTACCTAAGAGGCTAATATTAATTAATAGAAACTTAGCAAAATTAATTCATTGTTGTCAAATATAACTTTAGAAGATTGCATAATTAAATACCATTGACAAGAATTTTCTAAAGAATTTTTTTTACATTAGTTCTTATTTTTATAGAAATATATTTTTCGATATTTCATGTTAATGATATCAAATACCTTTATATTGTCAAATGTCTTTATATTAATAATATACGTCTTTATGTTATTTAAATATTTTTTAGAAAATATATTTTGATAGATAATGAAAATTCAAGTGAATAATTAATAATTTTTATATTTATACATTTGAATGTTTATTAAACGAAAAGCTAGTATATTTGAAACAAGCATTACAAAATTGAAAGATTTTGAATTATAATATTAATGAATTGACGTTACGAATTAATTTTTTCAGATAAAATTTTTACACTACTTATTTATGCTATTTATACTATTAATATTCTATTATGGTTTTATTCATTTATGCCGATTAAATTATTAGCTTCGCAAATAAAATTTAATAAGATTGAGTATATTTTATAACCAAATTGCATAATTATTTAAATCTGACTCATATTTTATTGTTATTTATTATTTATCGTCTTCATATACTTGTATTTGAAATTGATTATATATTTGAATATAAATTTAAAATTTTATTTCAGTTCTATAATATTAATTAATATAGGGATTCTTCGAGTTTATTATTACATTTTTTTTATATTGTTACGTTATTATTTATTATATTGTATTTTTACATTAAGCATGTAAATAAACAATGCTATATAAATTTTAGGCAGATATGCTTTTTATTAATATGACAAATAAACTTAATGTCTATTATTTTATCAAAAGCTTTGAAATTTGTATGATTTAATAATGACGGTGGTAACGGGTAGACAGAGATACAGAGAGAAAGAGAATGAGAGAGAGAGAAAGAGAGAGAGAGAGAGAGAGAGAGAGAGAGAGGCAGAGAATGAGAGCGAGCAAGGGTTTATGAGAATGAGAGGGATGGTGGAAGGGAGGAAAACAGAGAGAGAGAGAGAGAGAGAATGGGAGGAAGATAGGGTGAAAGTGAGAGGACATTTATGTATAACTGGTTCTAGGCTTTTGTTCTGGATTCCATATTACTAATACTGGAATTTTTAAGGCAGTAGATGTTTGTCAGAAGATTACTAGATCAAATAGATAGAAAGTATCACGTTAGATATTAATTTTCAGTATATATAGTTCGTTAAATATTTTTTATGTTTGGTATGTGAAACCAAATTCTTATTATAGTAACGAAATAGCTTCGTAATAATGTAAGAAATAGGTTTTAAATATTTTATTATTTATTTTTAAAAGTTACCAAACAAAAAATAAACAATTTATCGTCATAATTGTAAGAGTTCCATAAAAAATATAGTTAATTAAATTTTTAATAAGCAGGCTTAAAAATTAAATTCAGTTTCGCTTAATAATTATATATTATAAAAATCTTTGTTGAATATAACGTTTTTAAAAAGAGATTGAAATTTTAATTATAATTTAAATTCAAATAAAGTATCGGTAAGTTAAATGAATAAACGAATGGTTGTAATATCTCATTAATTTTATGAGAAATTAAAATTTTTCATTAAATGATATTAACAGATATTATATAATATGTTTCTAAATATATAATATTGTTTATGTCGTTCATATTAAGTTCCATGCTGGACCGATATATTGCAATAAACAATTTTGTAACAATGAAGATATGATAAAATAATTTAAAATTTTAATTATGAAATTCTTTAGAGCTTATTTAGTAGGATGAATTTATTTTTCGGTTTAATAATATTTTGAAATTATAATGTAAAACGTTATAGATAGAACGACACTTATATTGTAATTAATTATTGTTATTATATGATAGTAATAATATGATAATGAAACAGAGATATAAACAGATAGGTAATAGTAAAATTATTTTTAGTGCAAATATATTTTTTTCGTATATTATAAAATATAAACAAAAATAACAAAACATCTCAATGACAAAGGGCAAATAAAATATCACTATATCTGATAATATTATAATGTATTTTATGAAATGAAAAAGATGTTTGTTAATATTTATTTCAAAGTGATTTGTATTTATCGCAAAAATATGGCAAATATTTCTTCTAAACAAATATAATGTTTCTTTTATATTGTCATAAAAATAATTATTTAATCAGCACAGAAAATTTATAATTTATCGTTAAAGGTTAATATACATTATTTATATTGAAAAGTAATTATATTAAAAAATGTATGATTTTATTATAGAATCAATCGATTTTTCAAAAGTATTGAAGTTAATAATTGTGTTGAATCTGTAATATATATAGAACACTTGCATTTCTAATGTATAAAATTGAATTTTCATATTAAGAAATATTAACATTAATTATATTAATATCAATAAGCTATAATTGTATTTTTTCTACTTAAATATCATTGTCAATTTATGATATCGAATATATAAAAATGACTGTAAAGATGATACTTTTAGGAAAATTTAATGAAAATTAAAAAATTCATATTATTATATATGTTATGAAAATTGTTTGTTGTATTTATTGTGCATTTAATAATAGATTCTATTTAGTATACAAATAATATTGACTATTTATTTATGAGCTTTGTTATGGCATTATAAATGAAGCTAATTTTTGTTTTTTTATTATATCGTATATGATATTATTAATGCATTATTATGTTATTTTCAAGAGATTCATTACATAATATAATATTCATTATATTAGATACAAAAAATTAGCAATGCTATTTTATATGCTATTTTATTAACATATAATATTTTATTAAAATGTGTATAGTACTATTGCATTACATACTTATAAATTATTCGAATATTAGATTTTTAATAATAGAATATATTAACATTAAACTTGTGCAATATATTTCGTGAATATCCTATTATATTAAAATGCCTGTTATAATTTAATTTTGCAATATAATGTTATTTAAATGATATTATTAAATAGATAAACCGAGAGAGAGATAGAGAGAGAGAGAGAGAGAGAGAGAGAGAGAGAGATCCATATAAATATAAACATCAGTATTTTTAGTAAAAATATAATATATTTAACGTATTAAAAATTCATATTTCTCATATAACTCTTATATTTTTATCACTTGATTACTTTTTAAATACAAATTTTAATATAATTTATATTTATATATTCATATCAGTTTAGTGATAAATTGTTTGTGTACATTCAACAATAATAATCCGATTTTACAATATATTTTTAATCTGGTCATAAAGAATGTATGTAATTAAAAGAAAATAGATATTCAATGTTTTCTATTATCTTTTCAATCTTTGTAAGTTCATAAATTAATTAATCGTAGAAATCAGTCATTTTTAAGTTAAATAAATTATTGTATTATGGTGAAGGAATTACATTTTATAATATTCGATATTAATACTGTTTTAATTCATTATGTTTTTATCCTTTTGGAGTTTTTAAAGTATTTTAAATAAATAATATACTCTTATTAGTTGTTAAAATTATAATATATTAATTTATAATGTTTTGCAAAAAAATTTTTTTTGATATTATAATTTGTTTGCCAAGTTATGTATTCCGTGTTATCTAGATACTTAAAGATTGTAAAATGAAAGCAAATTTTTGTACTAAAAGTGAATTTGTTTATATTTACTTTGCTCCTTCGAATTTTTACTATTAGTAATAAACCTATTATTATAAACCATACTATTAGTAATAAATAAAATAGATAATCACAATAAGGATTATCTTGCATACATTTGAATACATTTTACACTCGCAATTTACCATGTAGAAATTACCAAAAAATAGAATGAATTTTTACTACATTGCTAATTAACTATGAAAATATAATAATTTTTATTTGTCTTGTAAAGCAGTTAGTGGTTTGAAATTAACATATTTAGAAATTTAATGTTTTAAATCATAAATTTGAGATAAAATTATCACAAAGGTGAAAAAGAAAATTTGATAAATTTACAAAATGTTTGTAAAATATAGTTTCATGTAGTTCTTTATTAGCTAATAATTTTGAAAAGCATCTATTATAAAACTGCCCATGTTAGAATAATTTATTGATATATTAGAATATTAATGTGACAATCAATGGGATTTATAATTAATTTAATTTTGATACAATGCAAATTTCTGTCTGTTATAAATTAATAATCAAGTGAAGTGACTCCTGTTACTGAGCATTTCTGAAAAGCTTTAATTCAAAGTATATAAAACATAAACTAAAGAAAGAAATCTTTATACACGCGTATTGTGCGCAATTAATTATGTCAATGAAACATTCGCCAGATTTTCATACCAAAATTTATTCATTTTCTATAATGATTATTCGAATTTTATAATTCACTATTATCATAACTGATTATGCATAAAATTATTATAAAAATAATAATTTGAATTATTACTTGGTTATCTTCCGGAAAAGAGAATCATTTTGACTGTCCTGCATAAAGAAGGAAGAGCACGTTACTTTTAATATTAATTAATAATTAATATTAATGCCCATTATTAATTTAGCAAATATATAAATAGTAAAAATATTTCACATTGACGTATAGTAGTAGGAGATCTTATAAATAATTATTGTAATAAAATTCATATTTTCATTATCTGCTATTTCAATATATATTGTGTCCCATGAACATAATCGATAGCTGTTTTGATAAAGTTGTATAACAATATTTACAACACGATTAATGACAATGATATCACTATCTATGATATATATCAAAGTAGATTAAATCTTATCAAGATTATGTTTTTTTAGATAAATCACTTCAGACTGACCATTGCTTTGATGAAGTAAAGTAGTGACGATTTGAAGACGGAAATTTTTCTTTTCATAGCAGATGTAAATACATGTACCCAAAGATCGTACGTTAAAATGAACGACAAAGAGGATCATCAAATTACACCAAGTAATATTATTTATCTTTTTTTACTCACAATTCACCTTACATACATCATTATTTTTTAATCGTAAAATTATTAAAATTCACAATGCAATTGTTATATTATAATTTAATTTTACGATTTACGTCAAAATAACAAACTCTTCAACTACATACTAACTACATTGTTCATGAAGTACTTTTTAAACAATTATTTTTCTACAATGATTTTTAAATTCGTTTTATTTCGCTAGTCTTAATTGAAATCCCTAGTTAATAACAATAATAATAATATAATTTTTATAATTAATATACAATTTAATGTAGTATAATAAAATCAACCTTGTTGTATCATTTAATACAAAATATATTATGGCGACTGTATCTCCGGTTAACTTCTAATTAGGCAAGAGGTCTTTACGCTTTCTACATCATACAATCATTACTCTATTACAGGTAAATTTGGCTCCAGACATGTACAAATGTTACTGCTCTTTTTGGGCATGGCAATTGCATATACGGTACGGGTCAGTATGTCTGTAGCTATTGTCGCCATGAGAAATAAAAATCCCGTCAATCCAAATATCCCGGTGCGTACATATATTTCTTTATCTCTCTCATTCTCTCTCTCTCTCTCTCTCTTTATATGTATATATATATATATATATATATATATATATATTTGTACAAGCGCACACACAAACATGAAAACATATGCGTAAATTCAAATTTCCTTGCATAGTGTATGTGAAGAAAGTTGTCTTTATTTATTTTATTAATTTATTTGTATTTTAAGAGGATTTAAAGAGGATTGTTGGTGTGGTCTACGTAAGGATATACTTAATAGTATTAGTAAAAACATATTGATTGAAGTGGTTGCAAACAATTTATATTTGAAAACTTATCAATCAAATACTAAAAGTAGGTCGATTATATCGAGCTTTTCTAACTTTACTAATTTGATAACATAGTTTAGTTTCGAAGATTCTTCTTACCTGTTAGACATAACGAAACTGAGTTTTAGTGATTTAACGATATATCACATGATTCATAATTCTCCATATCTTATTAATCAATTCACAACTATTTTGCTCGATTTTTTTATTTTTTCTCACATGCCAGTCTCAAAAATTTTATATACTATGATGATTTTTGATAGTGTTTCCATTAGATGTAACGTTAAATTAGAGCGAGGAAACTCTTTCGATATTATGTTTCGCTCATTTATCTACACGTACATTTCAGCACATTTTCTTTAATCAGATATCAACAATGGACTATTTGCACGGTGACTCTTTGCTTTTCTCAACATTATTATTTTAGTATTTTTTGATTATTTTCTAGCTAATTAAAAGAAGATATTAAAGATATTCTAAAGATATTCCATTCTATTCTAAATTATTATAACGCCAGTACATTCTATATTGTTACTAATTTTGCTTAGTATTACTTTCTCATTACTTTCTCAATGTTAGTAAATGAATATATTTTACAAGCGGTCAACGATTTCATAGATCTTAGTTATATTATTTAATTGCCAGCAGATTTTAATATTATTATAATGACGTAGATACTTTCAATCAAATATTAATTTTGCTCTTATTGTAGACTTATTGTTGTAATTTCTTTTTTGAGAGATATTTTCAAATTGCACTTTACTTCATTTATTTCTTACTTTTGCGCTTACTTCATTCTATTTATTTTCATGAAATTTATATAGTTTTATCAAACTGCTTTTTACAGATTCGAATTACCTTTTTATAAGTATAAGTAGCAACAACATCAGCAACAACATTTTCAGACAAAATATTTATTATAATTTTATGATAATAGATACAAATTTTTTAAGTTTTTGTGATTCTTCATTGATTGATCGACTACTCAATGAATTAGGTTTAATGCAACATTTTATCTAAAATGAACTAATTTCACGTATCTGTGTTCGTTTACAAAACCAATGCCGTACAAAAAAATAAAAAATTTTATTTTTTTTCAAATTATAATATTTTATCAATTTATATGATATAATCGGCTCGATAATAAATGTATGAGAATTCAATTTATTAAACATTACTTTACGCTATTTCTCAAAATCATTATTGTAAAGGGGAATAAGAATTCGAAAGTTAACGAACATAAATCTTCAATTTCAAGATGTTTTAAATTTGCAGAGATTGTCACCCGCATTTCACACGATAGTAACAATAACGTCGCAGTAACTGTAATTTTAATTTTTAATGCAGAAGTAATTGGTGGATAGCGAATGTTTACTTTATATTTTATATGCATAACACGATCAAAGTACATAAGAAAATTTACAGTATTTTCAATTTAAGACAATAATATCTGTAAAAGCGCGTATATACACGCACACAAACATACATGCATACATACATACATGCATGCATACATACATGCATACATGCATACATAAATCATACTTGGCAAAAAAAAAAAAAAAAAAAAAAAAAAAAAAAAAAAAAAAAAAAAAAAAAACACCACACTGCGTCATATTGAAAGATAAATTGTAAAATGCGTACGATTGCCTAGCAATACGACTGGGATACACAGATGAGCAGCTTCATCTTGAGCTCGTTCTTTTGGGGCTACGTAGTGATACAAATACCGAGTGGATATGTTGCGAGTACCCACAGCGCTCAGAAGCTGCTCGCCTGCGGTATATTCATCTGCTCCATCCTGAGCGTACTCACACCCCTGATGGCCAGCTACGGCTACGTGGCGGTTATCTGCTGCAGAGTCGCGATGGGTCTCTGTCAAGGATGTCTCTTACCTTGCGCGCAGACATTGCTCTCGCGATGGGTGCCGCCAATGGAGAGAGCCCGACTCGGTAAGATTCCACTCGCTCTCTAGTTGTCTGTGTTGGCGTATTGTTGACGGTTGAGTGAGAAAAGGTCGTTAATGGGAGGAAGCCTTTGTACATTCGAGTATGTGACTTGAACGGCGAATGAGCGTTGCCATTAGATGAGCTATTGCTGTGGTTAATGACAGTTGGCCTTTATCATATTTCCAATTTCAGCGTCACGCGTCACTTTTCCCTTCGAAAGCTTGGAGTTGTTGAAACTGCTAGGATGCGCGAGAGACCGCAACCTCCTTCGAAAAGTTATAAGGATTGAAATTTTTATTTGTTTTTGTATATTTGTTTGTTTATTTGTTTGTTTTTTACAGTGCCATATATTACATTGTAAAATTCTAATATTAGAAACATCAATTTTTAATTGCCTACGGTTAAACCATCTTAAGCGGGATAATGTATGCATTGCGGCCATCCATTCACATTGTTCAAACATAATTGTATGAGTAAATTATTGTAATTAGAGACTTTTCACTGCATGAAACTCGTATTATTTATTCGTCGTTTATTGTGGTAAAGAGTAACGAAAGTAACTAGAGAAAAATACATAGCGACGTCATTTGTTCGAGAAATAAGTAAATAAATTGGAAGTTTGTATAAGACATCGCGAGATAAACCCGAATGACGATAATCATTGAAGAAATCACACTGAATAAACACTGAATTTTATATTTATATGAATATTTAGTTGCGTAATTGTAAAAAAAAATTTCAAGACTTTCGACATACATTCGCAGAAGATGAATGTATTATGCTCTCAATGATATAGTTACATTAATAATTTCAATTACATTTAAATTGTTAATATATTATTTCATTATTTTTAATTTATAATTATTATATTTTTATATTGTAATCATGCTCTGAGTAGATAAAGTACACACATTAATTTTTATCGACTAAAACTTCGAATACGTACGCGCGTGTGCGTGTGCGCGCGGATCGGTATAAGTATGTAAGGATATCTTAAACTGAATGAATATTTTGTTTAAAGCCAAACACCGTAGCGTGGCAATTGTTTCAAAGAAGAAAAAAATGGGGTAGGGGGGAGGAGGAGGAGGAGGAGGGGGGGGGAGAATGGTAAAAAATAAGTGCCAATGAAATGCAATTGAATGAAGCGCTAATAAACGGCATTGATTAACACAACTGCATAACGAAGAATAAAAATTTTTGTCGATTGTGCCTATATGTGCAGGATATCACCAAAAGCTAGAACGGTGACCCTGACGACATTCGTGCTTACGGAGACGCTCAAACCAACCAAAGGGCGACACAGCAATCCCGATAAGAAAGCGCTTAACCATTCGGCCTTGTAAGGTTAGCGTTGACGGGCTTTTCATTACAAAAATTAATTAATTATTTATTTATTTATTTTTTTTTTTTTTAACGAAGTGCTAAAGAGGTTGACCAATGTTAATTAAAAATTAATGATTCTGTGTGTAATGGTGCAATTGATTATTGTAAGTACATTACAAATACAAATATACACGAAGGTCGAAGCCTATTATCTATTTGAGCTTTTTTTTTTTTTTTTTTGATTTACAGCACTCGAAAAAAATCTTTATGCAGCTACTTTTATTTATTAAATAGAGATAATCAGTCACATTATCCAGTAAACAGTAATATTATCGTAAAATTATGTATTGCGTTAATTTTCACTCTTAATTTAATTACTTTATAAATTATCAATTGTCATTAACGATGAGGAATTTAATATTTTTAACGCTTATTCTTTATTTCAAAAACCTATTGTATATGAGTTACGTAGATAAATGATGTTAATAATTTTAATACTTTATGGTGACTGGAATAACAATTTTATTCTTGTATTTTACTTTGCAAAATCTGGCATTAACCGCACAATATTTTTCTTCGCTAATCCAAGCTTAATATTACATGATAATATTTTATGTTTTTTAGGTTCATTCGTGATGAATGGTCCACAGTTTGGTACTGTAATAACAATGCCGATTTCCGGTGCCCTCGCAGCCACGAGTATTGGCTGGCCCAGTATTTTTTACATTTTTGGTACAATTGGAATTGTTTGGAGTATAATATTTTATTGGTTGGGCGCCGACTATCCATCGCAATATCCAAGAATTAGTCCCAATGAAACACGTTATATTAATGACAGCCTTGGTAATCTGGATAAATCTGGTGATATTAAAGTTAGTGGTACAGATAGTTGCAAAATATATTTGTAAAATATATAGAGAAAAATGGGATCGTTGAGCTTTAATGTATTGCTTAAATAAGTTTGTGCATTTACCTTACAGAACATACATTTTTATTCGACAAAAATATATTTAAACACATGAATGTATATTAAAAAAAAAAAAAAAAATTCTATATGCCAACAAAATTTTTGTCCAACAAGTTTAAATCTTATCACATAAGGTTTAACGATCAAATGAGATTAAATTAAAATATTTTTTAATTTAATTCGATAATTTTGCTTTGTTATAAATTATATATTATATTATATATATATATATACTACTAAATTATAAGTACTCTTTGAAAAGAAATTTTTAATTTAAACATCGATATTAATTGAAAATTTCTTATCTGATATTGAAAATTGTGGTTAAAGAAATATTAATAATATAAAATGAAGATTATTATTACGAAAAGTGTATTCATAATTAAGAATTAGTAAAGGAAATCCACAGAAAACTCGACTTAATGAATCGTCAGAAATATTCTCTTACTCACAAAATTTTTAAATTATAATTCTGATAACATTACTTTGTAATATTCTATCGAATAACTATTGAAATACTCAAATGATAAAGCTTTATAGTCGTATAAAGTAGGAAAAGTAACTTACTTTCTCTAGTTAAGTATTTTAGGCTTACAATATATTTGACATGAACGATTGTGGCTCAAATGAAACGATATTTATTCCAAATTAATATTAATTACATGTAAATTTATAATGAATGAATTATGCTCGATTGTAAGTTTCCACTTTGATAATAACATGTTATTTAGATGTAAGATTGTGTTTTTGTTGATTTCATCGTTTTCGTTGATTGAGTTCATTGATTCATCACTTTTTATATCTGCACGAGGCATTAATGTTTGTTTTTCCAATTTCAATATTTCTTTATCTAGCGTTTTCATTAATTTGGTAAAAGTTTTAAGACTCATTGAACTTGATTTGAATTGAATAATGATACTTTCTTTCCTCCCAAATGGCAAATATATTATTCTGTCTTACTTTTTGTGCGAGAACGTGATAAATCATATATTAGTATTAAGTGTCATTAAAGGTATGTGACATATCTGATAAAATATGAATTGATACATGTTATTATATAATAATTCTATTTAATTATATATAAAATATTTATATTTAGTTATTTTGCATAAAATGCATTTTTATGTATACACATTATATACAGTCTTGCATCATGTTATCAAATTATTTTAATTAAATTATATATATATATATATATATATATGTATGTATGTATGTATGATGATGAAAAATTTAACTAATACTTTGTTGAAAAATGTACTATAAATGTTTATTAAATAATTCGAGCTCTTTTAACTTATTACATTAAATAAGTTTGCATTCGTACAACTTTTTTTTCATCCATCTATGCAGTTTATCAATTATACGTATTATCGATATAATTTCGTTATTTAAATTCGATATTTTGTTCAGACTGAACGTTAATATTACATAATTTTAAGTGTAATAATAAACATAATATTATACCTAGCCTGTGTTTAAATAAAATTATTGATTGTATATTACATGAAATTATATGATTTTTAGAAACTTAAAGTACCATGGAAGTCAATATTTACGTCAGTGCCAATGTGGGCTTTAACTATTGTTCATTGTGGTCATAATTGGGGTTTTTACACCTTCCTTACTGAAATGCCATCCTACATGAAGTCTGTTCTAAATTTTGATATTTCACAGGTTTGTAATATATTATTTTTTTAAATACTTAATAAACTTCGTTTATTTAGTTCTCGTATCTCAATGCAATCAATAACTAATTGTTTATATTCATATATTTACTCATTGTATTCGCTGAACTAAGAAACGCTTTTAGAAATTTGTTAACATTATTAATTATATCAGCAAGTAGCAGTTTTGAAAAACTTAATAATATCTTGTAACAACATTATTTTCTCAAATATTCCTTGACAATAAAATAAAATTAAAAGGACAAATATGTATTTTCCAATAATTCTTTAATTTATTAACTGGAACTTTATTCCAATGAAGCTACAAATTATTAGAACGGAATGTTTCTACAAGTCCATTATAGTATTGTTTCGTTCTTTTTATTATGTTGATAATTTTATTTTTTAACATCAATACCAATGTGTTGTGCCATGCTTTTAGATAGTTAATTCCAGGAAAGTTATTGTGTAAAAAAATTTATATAATTATTTACACCAATTATCCTCGAATATTGTCTAAATATTTTATTATAAAAGTTGAAGCATAATAAGAGAGGAATTTGGTTGATTTCAATTACTAAGAGTTAAATTTATCGAATACTTTTCACTTGTGACTTATGATTATAAATTATTGATTTTTATCTACAGAGTGGAGGAGTATCGGCTCTACCTTACCTTGCTATGTGGCTATTAGGCTTTCCAATAAGCTTTTTGGCAGATTTAGCTCTAAAAAAAGGAGTGCCAATCGTAATCGTACGCAAATTATGCAATAGTATTGGTCTTTGGATTCCAGCAATTGCCATGTTTATACTTTGTATTATTAAAACAACCAATAGCATATTTTTTGTTGCTATTCTCGTAGTAGGAATTGGTTTTAATTGCGGCACTACCTGTGGCTTTCAAATCAATCTTATCGATTTAAGTCCTAACTTTGCTGGTTCAATGATGTCAATCACAAACTGCATAGCCAACGTTCTTGGTATCGTTTCACCATTAATATGTGGTATAATCGTCACCGATGAGGTAATCCTCAAATCTTATGAAATAATTGACTAATATTTTAATATATATTCTTTTAAAAATATTTTGAAATTCAATTATCAATTTAAGATTTTAACTATGACGAGGATGTAAGATTGACATATTATTCGGATTCTAAAACAATTTCTCAAGAGTATTCATACTAGCATAGATAGACTCATAAAGACTCATTTTATTAATTAAAAAAAAAAAGTATCGTCGTAAAATAAAAAGTATAATTTTTTTTTCATCTCGAAGCATTTGAGTATATTTTGATCATAAAATTTTTATAAAATGACAATGAACGAAAATCATTCTTTTAACTAAGTTAAGAACGATATTAATAAAATGTAAAAAAATAACGGCAAATAAACATTTAGATTAAAAAAGATATACGCCATTACAATGAAATCGAGAAAACTTAATTGAATGTTTAAAGCAGCATGAATGTTTTAAAAGTCTAAGTAAATGATAGAATCATTAAAACAATAAATGATGTCTGTGTGATTGATTTTTGATAGATATTACGAGGCACTGAAAATTATAAAAAATATAATTGCCGATAGAAAGCCAAATGCACTAAATATTTTACAATAAATGATTATGTGCAGCTTTTAAATATTTTTCTTATAGGATATTATTATAAAATAACTATTTAATTAAAATTATAAGTATATTACAATTTTAAATACGCTTTGTATATATACCTACGTAATTTATATAGATGATATTGCAATAATTGTTTTACTTCTAATGAATAATAAAAAAAAAATAGTTTTCATTTAATCCATAAAAATGTATCTCCACTAGCATGATAATATATTTATTAAAATATAACGATTTATTCATATTAATTTTTATATAACAGTTTTTTAGCTTAAAATTTAAATTATTAGTATCACTTAAAAAAAAAAAAAAATAAATAAAATTTCATTTAGTGATTTATATTTTATATTATATATTTGAATATTTTCAGTGTCAAGCAAGATTTATTGACTTGTTGTTAAAGACTATTTAACAATGTTTACGATTAATTAAACAATTTAGGTCTTTCTTCCGACAGATATTATCGTAAAATTTGATTTAAAATTTTATGCTTTAAGAAATAAAGTAATATTCCAACTTTACTATATCAACGGAAATCTATAGAATGGTTTATTTAAACATTTTTTATATCATATTAAGATACATTTATTTAATAAATCTTACTCTCTTAATTACCTTCATATGATAACTAATTTAAAAAAAATATATATGCATTATAAGAAATTATATTTAAAAAAAAAAAATTTTTTTTAATATAAACGTAATGAAATCATAATATAATTGTTCTTAGAATAAAAAAATAAAAATATTTTAGAAATAAATTAGAAATGAAGCTAAAAATTGTAATAAATCTGTTACGAAAGTAGGGTAAAGAAAAAAATATATTTCATGTAAGCCTTTTTCACTGTCGATACTTCATAAAATAAATCTGAAAAGGAAATAAAATCTCTTGTTGCGACAGCAAATAAAAAATCTATCTCTCTTTAATTACTAATTAAATATTTATCATAAAAATTAAAACAATGCATTTTTTATTCTTTACACATTTAGAAGTGTCTTTGTTACATATACTATTTACCAAATTTAAAATTATATAAAAGATATGGATTATACCGAATTAATTATATCTTATTATAGTCAAGACTATAGATTTTACAAGAAAAAAAGGATTGTGCATAAACGTTGTAAATAGTATAAATATCATAAATTACAATATGTACTTTAAAATTGTATATATTAATTCATATTTTCTTTTTCATTTAGATAGTTTTAACCTTTACATTGGTATTTCAAATGGAATTACAAAATTTATTCAAATAAAAATCAAAGATTAAATATCTTACTTCAAGCAAGACAATATTAATTTTAAAATATACAAAATTCATCAAATTGGCAATTATAAAATTTTACTGCGTAAATAAAAAGAAATTAAATATCTAATTAATCAAAAGTTAATATAAAATAAAATATTAATGGATATAGCTCGATATATTACAATAGAATATTATTTCCCGTTAATTCTTTTTGTGTAAAATAATGCAATAAAATACATTATATGGAAAAAATAAAATGGAATACAATATTACATATATATATATATATATATATATATATATATATATTAATGTTTTTTATTTTATATTATTGTGATAATAATGCTGACATTGAAATTTATTTCTTAATGAATCTAGAATAAATTTTATACGATTTATCGATGAAATTCTTTCTTTAATTTAATAATAATAATATAATAGCAATGCAATATCTATTTTAAACCATATAATTTAGATTTATTAAGTATATTAAATATTTTTTTCAGACTAATGTGAACCAATGGAATATCGTCTTTTCTATAACATCAGTAATTTATTTCGTGTCCAATTTGATCTTTTTAATCTTTGGTCAAGCTAATATTCAGCCATGGAACGACGTAGAGGATCACCTTAAAACACAACATCGACGAGTTTCTACGATTTCTATAGCCGGCGAACCCACCAGCTTATCAATTCCTGAGCAAATCATAGAGGAAGAGAGCAAAACACCTTGCTGAATAAAATCGAATTCTTAGTTATTTTAATTCTTAATTTTATATCATCAAGTTGTACAATTTTAAATTAATCAACTACAGCTGTATAATTATCTAAGGATAATTGAATCTTTTGGATTAGAGTTGTTTTAAAAGTATTTCTTAACATAGAAATCTTTTAAGCAGGTGATATGTAACAGTTGTAAAAAAAAAATAATATGAAAATTTTAATAGAAATTACCGACGAATTTTCAAGGACAATACTGAAAAGTGGCTAAGCTTATACATAAATATTTATGTAACTACAATTCAATATTAATAATTCAATAATAATATTTTTTTTTATAATTTCCTTGTTTTTAAATATATTAATGTTGGTGAATTAATATATGAGGTACGTGCAAAAAAAAAAAAAAAAAAAAAATACTAATGATTTTATTCAATTATTTGAAGCAGAAAATACTAACTTATAATTTTTTTTTAAATTCTTTAATTTAAATAATTCCTTAAATTCAAATAAATTTAAAGTATTAGTATAAATATTTCATTATTATTGGATTTAACATAAAATGATATGTGGCATAGTACTTAGTACAACTTAGTATGTTTTATCGATATATTCAAACAATATAAAAAATATTTTTATTGTACAAAAAATATCGACATATCGGTTACATAAGAATGAATGGAATAGTTTTAATTAAAATAATGTATTTATGATCATTTTTGGTCAGTTTTAAACAATATAATAACGTAGTGCTTAATCGCAAATAAAAAATAATTACTTTGAGCAAATTAAATAGTTTTATTTCCTATAATTTTAATTCACTTTCCACACATTAAAATATTCCGTTTACGAAAATATCGTTAATTCTTTACACAAATTTTATTTTTTCATTTCCACGTTATTGTTATGCGTCAAACAACGAATTATATCCTACAAAATGCAGTTATATATACATGAAAATATAGGTATACATGAGATATTGTCAAATAAAATTACTGTAATGCATAGATTAATGTATATTGTTTAAAAAGTCTTGTTTTCTTGTTTGATATACTATTTATCATCAAATATCACCAAATATACAAATCAAAAGAAAATTAAACATTGAAGTAGCTTAAAAAATTCATCATCATTATCTAATTTTCAAATATATCGACAAACAATCATCTCAAACAATAATACAAAGTTAATTGTTCATTAATAACTATAATTTATTATAAAATAATAGAATGAAAGTTCGCTATTTGTAAAACATTTAAAGATATTAAATGAGAGAATAATTATTGTGTGATGGTTTACTGCTTCATAAGGGGCAGTGATTTTATTCCATAGATTGTGAAATTTCAAGTAACATAAGATTTATAATATGCCATTGATCTTTCTGAAATGATTTGTGAAAATTCATTACAATTTTATGAAATAATATACTATACTAAAATCTTATATTTTTCACAAAATACAAAAAAGAATAATGTTTGCATTTGAAAATTTTATTATCGTCAATAATCAGTTTTTAATTTAACTAAAGCAAATTTTTTTGTACATAATTAATTTTTATTGTTGCAATTTTTAAGAAAATATAATGAACATAATAATAGTTGATTCGTATGGATATATTATAAGTACCTACTTTCAAAAAGTTATTTCATATCTTTTAAAAGCAAAATTGTTAATAATGTTAAACAAAAAGTTATTTAATTTATTGAATTAAAAAAATATTTATAACGAGTTAAAATAGTAATTATATATTGTAATTAATATTTATATATTGTGTTTAAACAAAATAAATTATTGAAGAGAAACTATTGAATAATAAAGTATAACATTTAAAATTTTTTGTTCCACACACATACACACGCGCGCGCGCACACAATAACCCACGCGCGCACACAATAACCCACGCGCGCAAAAGCATTTAACAAATAACTAATGAAAATTTACATTAAATCACAAAATTATTACGCACGCACGCACGCACGCACGCACGCACGCACGCACATACAAAACATGCACACAAACACGCAGACGCGCGCGCATACACACACACACACACACACACACACACACACACACATTGTATTATTTAATAGAATTTTGAATTTATTATAAATTTATAAATTTGAATTGTAAAACGATGTGAAATTTAAAAATATAAAAATTCTTAATTCTTATATTGAATTTTGACGAATAAAATAAATTATTAATAATATTCATACAAAATGTAAATAAATGAATAAAATTGAAGGCTTGAATTTGATATTCGAACGGAAAAAAGTTCATCAGTTGATATGACATTTAATTTCAAACAAATAATATAATTTAACCTTAACAATAATCTCAAAATTATGAACCAGTTCGTATGTTTTATTCTTTTCTTTCATTTCTAAAAATAGTAATTGCAATTTTATTTCAAAAATATAGATTGTCTATTAATTGGTGAATTTGAAATGATGTGATTACTTCATGTATAATAATGATCCAAAAATTTATTAACTACCTTCAATAACAATTTATTAAAATGTTCAGAAATTATAAAACACAATTTATTAATATTGAATAAGTATATAATTCTGAATTAGTTCACATTAAATTACCAATATAATCTGTATTATAGGAGATTTCTTGATTGATGGAACATGGCAAATACGTAGTTCCACGGTTGTAATAAATCAAAAATTGACCTCGTGAAATAACATTGAAATTTATGATAGAATAATAAGAAAGAATGCGGCAGAAATTGATTATTGAGAAATAAGTTTTTCATTATAGTAATTGTCTAAGGAATTTTAAAATATGACCTATCCGTTTTTAACACATAATTATCACATCTATAAAGTAATACATAAAGAATATATAAATTGAACATAAATTTTGTAATTTCAGGAAAATTATATTTCAACATCTATAATATTGTAATATTACATTTAAAATCCTATGGTTAATAATTCATTTTTCTTCGCGTCTTTTGAATTTATTACTGTCTTTCTGGATTCGTCTGTACTAGAGCCTTTTCTCTTTATGAATATTTGTGAAAAAGAATGGGAAAAGGTTTCGAGTACTAAAATGCTGCGATTTTTTGTTGTTGTCTAAAGAGAACGACTCAATCAGCGGGAGAACGTACCCAAAAATCAGAACAAAAATTATTCTTTTGTTTTATTCTGTCAATTACATATTGTTTATATGACTAGTACATGGACTAATAAGTTTAGCTATTGAATATTAGCTGACGATTTGAGCGACTGAATGTATTGTACATGAAATCACTTGTACCAAAAATTATGCGAGCGTAATTTAAGAAAGTCTCAAGAGTATTCTTATTCTACGATCTTTATTCTTATTACGGAATACTATAAATAATTACATTGTATTTAAAATTAATTTAATATGATGGGCATCCTGTTCTTAAATGATAAGCTTATGAATAATAATCTTGGAGATTACAAGGAATGAACAGAGTTGATACGACAAAGGGGTTAAAGTTTCAGGACAAATGCCAAATGATATATATATATATATATATATATATATATATATATATATATATAATGTATTTGGAGTAAAGTAATCAACATTGTAAATTACCTTATAGATGTCTTATCTACAATTTTTAAAAATTATTTCGAATATTATCAAAATTAAACATCTCGCATTCTTCACGCCTTTACGAAAACTTTTCTTGCCACATATAGTATTATCTGTTTATAGCTGTTACAAAACGTAACAAACGCACGACTTTGTACAAATTAATAAAATGACATAACTGTAGATTCAATAAGTTTTAAAAATGAATTTATTATCAACTGCAGTATTCGTGAATACGAAAAAAAAAAACCATTTGTGCATTAAATAATTTATATTCTTCATTATGATTTAACATAAAGATTTTGTGAAAGATTTTCATATTTAAATATACGATTAAATCCAACATTACATTATTCTATTTTTATTACGTAGAAAATATTTATAAATATATGTATTTATAGTGACGCGGTTGAAATATTGTATTCTTTATTAATAGCAAACTAAGAAGATTTTTCAAAATTGACAAAATTAATTTTTACGCTCTAACGCAAAATATCCAAGCGATAACTGTCGTCGATTGATATCACGAAAGCCATAGCCAACTAATATCGATTAAAAAAGTTAAAAGGTGGTTTTCCAATACGAGAAAAATCTAAATAATCTCAGATATTATTGTTTGATCACGTTAAACGGCAAATTAAAAATTAATACGAAGTACAAGCAAGAAAGAAAAAAAAGAATATTAATATTATAAAGGATACGACGGCCGAGCAAGGCGGAACAAAATCACAATTACACTATCATCACAAAAATAGCTGACTATCACTCAATTCACATTATACGGTTGTTATTTTATAAAAAAAAAAAACAAAAAAATTATGTTATTTAAGCATTATACTTTAATACGATTGATCATTGAAAATACTTAAAATAATATAAATTGAATTAAAGTTATGACAAATGGCATAGATAATAATAAAATTATTATTATTATTTTTTTTTTATAAATTTATAATTTATAAATTACATTTATAAAAGTGTTTTAAACACTTTGTCCAGACCCACAGATAAATAATTTTCATTTTATTAGTGATTAATTATTTCAGAAGTGTTTACACGCAATGACTTTTACTATTATATTATATAAAGGATACTTAGATCATTTGTTAAAAAGTATAAGCAATGATTAAACATATTTTTCTCAATTATTCTTTATTGATTATTTTAATTAAAGGTTAATTATGCTATATATTATTTTACAGAAATAAAAATGAAGAATAAATAAAGCGATTATATAGGCTAATCTATTTGTAATATTAAAATTCATAGATCTTTTTTAAAATACAAAGATTAATTGTAAAAAGTGCAACAAATTTATGATAATAATGGAAAGGCAAAAAAAAAGTAGAAAAAATCAGGTAAACAAATGAATGAGTTTTATTATTACTTTATGTATATATCATTACATCGACTATTGTAAGCATTATATCATTACATTTATATTTAAAATATATACTGGCGATTACAGTTACCATCACTTTTTATACGATAATAATCGAAAATGTAGTTCGGTTTACTTATCAGGTCATAGACAGAGAAGATTTAACGATCGTAGCAATGAATGCAGTCAATATCAATGGCATTCCCTCCCCTCCCTCTCGATCGAGCGATAATTCTTTTTGCCATTCCTCGATTGTGTTCTCTGATAAATCTTGCCTATCGTTTTATTACCTCC